TGTTAGGAACATAATTTCCAAAGACAATATCAGAAGACCCTTGTTAGTAATATTGGAAAAATAGTGTAAACAGACTGTTGTTTGTGAACAGCATTTTCTTTTTCCTAATTAAAAATATTTTAACTATAGACTTTATCTATAGATTTACAGTTTTTAGAACATTTTCATATGCATTATTTCTCTTTTGTCTTTAACACAACTCTATAAAGGATTATGTAGCAAGTCACCATTTCCCCAAAGATAAACATCTAGTAAGTGGTATGGATACGACTGAAATACAGCTATCACCATTTCCCCAAAGATAAACATCTAAAAAGTGGTATGGTTAAGACTGAAATACAGAAATTTTCATTTTACTATAATACTATTACATACTTGAACAACTCCTCCCTGGTTTTGTATGTGCATTTTTCTCAATTAGATATTAAGGTTCTCATGTTGTACCAAAATGTGATTAAAGAGCAGATCCACTTATCTATTTTGATGGCCTTCTCTCAATTAGATTATTCCACAAATCTCAGGAAAAAGTGGATCTTCAATTAGGAAACAGGCAGCACAGGCCAGTGCAAGAGAAGTATTAGGTATTGTCTAGACATGTAGGAGCAGATGCTAGGTAGTACATTTAATAGAGTTGCCCCAAATATGAAGAGAGACAAGAAGGTGAAGGGGAGAAACAGGCAAGGACTGTTTTATTTTTCTGGGTTCCCCAGGTCTGAACCAGATATATAGAAAATTAAGATTCTCTTCTGTGATTCTTACTGGAAAACACCTAATCACAGGATAATGATGGGGTATCTACTTTAACTGAAGATTTTGGGAGTGAATATTTCATCAAATTCCATATAGAATTCACATTTTATGATGAAAATGCATCACTGTGATTTTTAAGGAAAACATGAGAATTTGACTGGATTTAGAATATGATGGATCGGGCAGCACTGTGAAGCTAGCCACACCCACAGCCACTTCAGCTTGAGTTTGATCCCTGGCCAGGGAGGTTGACCCACATGGCGTTGCAGACCACTCCTGTCTTGCCCACTGCTCCCCTCAACAGTCTACTTCATCAGTCTGCTTATTCTGCTCTTCACTCTGTCTCTGGTGAGTCCTCTTACCATACTTGCACCTCTGGCCTATACTCTAGTCCTGTATGCATAAATAACTAAATTTAAAAAAAAAAGAATATGATGGATCACTTTGGGCTGCTGTCTCAGGCTACTAGGTAGACTATGAATGTTTGTTTTACCCTGAGCTATCCCTAATGGAAAACATTTAAGAAATACAATATGACAGATATTTTCTTTTCATAATCCCCTAGCATTTAAAGTGAAGTTCTGTTTAAAATAAACCACCCTTGTTTTAGCTATAAGGAATCAGTGGGCAGACCACATGGGCTAAAGACCCTAAGGGCTGCTATATTTCAGGGAGATTAAGTTGGTGATGCAAAGATCAGTTACTCACATTTACAAAGGGGATCTTAGAGGTTGTAGGTTTTATTTATATTAAGGAAGATGGCATTCTTTATACATGCTTTCTCTCTTCTATTGAATTTTGCCATCAACAGAGTTGGAGGAAGAACCTATTGACTTTATCTGTAAAACCATTTGGGTCTGGTGTTTTCTATGGCAGGGGGTGGTAGAAATTAACCACAATTCTAACTTCTTTAATTATTTGTAGGGCAATTAAAATTTTTCACCGAATTTATCCATTAATCTAAGTTTTCAAAGTTGGCCTGTTGCTCTTGATGGTATTTTCTACTTATCTTCTAATACTTTATCTGTTAGTATGCTTTGCTGTGGATTGCTAAAAAGGACTCCCAATGAATCATTCCTTCCTATTCCCACTCCTCTTTGAATGTGACTTTCTTGCTCTTTCCATCAAGACTTAGTTGAATCTGAGATGGCCCTGTGATTTGTATTAACCAACAGAATGAGGTAGAAGTGACATTGTGGGATGTCCAAATTCAGGTTTCAAGAAATCCTCCACATATGCTGGGAAGGAACCCAGTGGGCATGTAAAGAAATCCAAGCTGTCAAAAGGGACAAAACAGAGTATCTGTTGGAGAGAGCAAGACAGAGTAGCTCCATCCTTGTATTTTTCACTTTATATCCTTATGCTTTGGGTATATATTTCTTATAAACAGTATGTTTCTGGATGTTTAAAATCCAATTTATCTTCCTACTGTGAGTTTTTTCATCTGTGCTTATTGTAACTTTTGCAATACTTATTTATGTTTTCTAGCATTTTTTTTAAAGATTTATTTATTTATGCATGCAGGAATTGGAGTACAGGACAGAGCTGCTGGTGGTGAGAGGAGTCACCAGTAACAGAGTCGGGAGCAGAACAGGCAGATCCAGGAAGTACACTGCTGAGGGGAGCAGCAAGCTAGACAGTAAAGGTCTGCTGTGCCACCTCCATGGCTGTGGGTAGAATACACACTGAAGAGGCTGCAGCTTGCTTGTAGTGCTGTGTCCTAACCCTTTGTGCCAGGGAGGACCTGTTTTCTCGCATCTTAATTTGTAAATTTTTTTGTTTTATTTTTTCTACATTTCCTGTTTAAAAAGCAATATATGTAAAGTCCCCTTATAAGAGAGAAATCATAACGCATTCTCTTATCTTGTGTTCCCTTCATTTTTGTCTTCCATATCTATATATTATCTAGACTTAATTCCAGGTTATTAGTAATATATGTTCTCTTTTCCTTTGGTCTTTTAGCATTTTGTAAACAATAGGAAATTTCACAAGTTTTGCTCACTTAGAGGTTCTATTTTTATTTTTCTCTTTGTGTCTCCAATTTAGATAAGAACAGGCAGAGTTTGTACCAAGAGAATGACAAGGGAGAAGTAAAAGTCAAACTCTAAACATTTCTTTCCTGTTTCACCTTCCATTTACCTTCTTCCCTTCTGTCCATATCCTTTATCCCATAAGCACCAGTTCAGAACAGCCACAATGTCCAGAAATTTCTGTTTTCTCTCTATTTGGGTGTTTATAAGCAAGCACCCAAGGAACTTTGTAGTTCCTCTAAAATTGACCTTATGGAAAGGAGCCAGTCATTTTACTTGCCAGCCTATTGGTAAGAAGCAGGACTGGAACAAATTAATTTAGTTTACTCCTTCTGACATCCCATCAGGTAATGAATGGAGATTCAGAGGAGTATAGAAAATTTGACCAGCGTTAAGTGGTGAATTTAAAACATAACTATTTAATTCCAAAACTGATGATCTTTTCCATTCTTAAATCAACCTTGAAACAAGCCATGTTTCCAACCAAAAATACCTAGGTTGCTACTTAATTGGCTGTGGTAACTTGTACAAATTATTAATCTTCCAAAGTCCTTTCTATCACTAAAAATTTTGCCTCTCTGCCAGTCTTTCAGTAATTTCCAATGAAACTTTAATTCATTGCAGTATGATTTTTGCCACCATTGTTACACTGCAATTGTTCTCACTAGTGGTGCCAATCTCACCCTTATTGCTAAGTATTGAACATGCAGTGTATCTTTCCCATAGGTTATGCTTTGTTTCATATTTCTTAATACACTAAATTACTACAACTTCAGTTAACTCAGGAAATCAACTGAGGGTTACAGAGAAAATTTAACCCACAAACATCCACATATTTAGATTTCAGTTGCATGTAGTGCTGGACAATACATTAAACAAATAGAAAACAATTGGAGATAGCACACATGAAACAATTTGAGATGCATCATCGATTTAACAAGAGCTAAATAGGTAAGTTCTTGGTCTTGTGGTAGCCAAAATACTTCTTAGAAAGGAGACAAAGCAAAGATAAAAGAAAAAAACGATAAACTATTAATCTTAACTCTCCGCATCTATGATGCTGCAAAGAAAAGGAAAAAGCATCTAAGAGGCAGGTTTTCCACTGTTGGAGTAGAAGGAAGGAAAGGAGCCTAGAATAATCTGCGTAGTAATGGATCAGAGTTTGGGGACATTGGGATGAATCCATGATTAGCTTAACAGATGGCCAATGCTGAAATATTTATAGATATGTTTACACCTGTAATACATACGCAGGAATATTTATTCTTTCTGTCAGCCAAGGGAAAAGTAGCAACAAGCATATTTAGCGCTCAGATCTTGTTTTCAAGTACTACCATTCTCTAATAAAAGGAGCCAGGGTAGCTTGGAGAAGTGGTTGACTCTCATAGTGGGGCAGAGGAAATACAAGATGAACCTGGAGCATCTTGTAGTTCAGAAAGTAAGATAATTGCTAAAACAAGAAAATAAGTAACAAAATCCATCGTGAAGGAGCTATGTCAAGGTGACAACAAACTCAAAGAGCCAATGGGCAAAGCTAGAACACCTTGAACCATAAAATAAAGTAGTATGGGAGTATAATCCAAAGTATAAAATCATTCATTCCATCGATTGTAACAAATGAACCATGTGAGGTGCATATGGAAATTTACCAATTGTACACTTAAACGATGATTTTCACTGCACTTAAACTTTATTTCAATTTTTTTAAATGGGGTAGAAAAAGAATAAAATAATCAGCGATGCTGGGAACACCAAACTCTGCAAGGAGAAACATGGAATGGTAAGCCCTTTCTTTAAAACGTTAAGAAAACATCCCAATGCTCCGCTAGGTTTATCCCATTAAATAAAGATATTAAAAAGCCCTGCAGCCCCTGGCCCCCTCTCTAGACTTAAGCGCCTCAGTCGGTTCCCGGCGCACCCAGGACCGCGCCAGCCGAGCTCGCCCTCCACCTACCCGTCCGGCGGGGCCACAGGCACCGCATCGCCCAGCCCACCCTCCGTCGTAGACCCGCCTATTTCTTTCGCTCACACCCAACCACGTGCGAGAACCGACTGTTCGCCTTTCAATCAATTCAAACAGCGCAAGGAGCGAACCAATCGGAAGCCTTATCAAACGGGAAGGGGCGTGTACTTTCCCCGGAAGTTTGGTTAAAACCTCTCCAATCAGAGGCGCGGTGCGCGAAGTTTGAATTTTGCTGCGGTCTAGGCTGTGGAGCCGCGGCGGTCTTCCAAACTCCGAACCTTTAGCACTTGGTTGAAATTTCACGCTAGAAGCCGCCTCAGGTGGGTGGGTGCTGGGGATGGGGTTGGAGAGCGGGAGGGAAGGTGGTGGCCCCCTTTCTCCTAGAAGGTCCGGAAGGTCTGACGACTTGCTTGCTGCCGCCAGCTGGACGCTGCTCTCGGGAGCTCCTCCAGCCTCACCGCGTTACCTGTCGTTCCCCAAAACGCAGACACTGCCCCCTAAAAGAGTAAATAAGTGTTGCCGTGATCTGTATAGTAGCGTAGCCTACCCGGCTGTAATGGACTTTGGGGCGGGGCAGGAAATCAGCTGAGGCCGTTTAGCACTCTTGGCCCCGACATTCAATAACATAAATCCTCCCAGGTAGCTAAAAACGTCCGGGTTGGAAACCTCAAGGCAAGCAAGACCAAGGCTTTTTAGACTTTCAAACCGGGGGAACACCAGTCAGCTCAAGGAGAGCTCAGTGTGAGATGCCAACTGCTGGCTTGTGATCCCAGATCCAGCGTTAGTTGTGCCACTGTGGGCAGTTAATTGAGCTCACCTGTGGCATTGCGAGCATTGTAACTACCGTTTATTGTCATCATTACATATGCTTTTAGTGTAGAGCGAGCTTTCTCTGCTTTGTACAGTGTATTTTTACAAAAACTAATACGTTTAAAAAATTAAACGAGGTGTTTTTTTAAAAGTGAGCTAGCATTTTTTTATGACTGCATAAGTTTCAAGTGTACAACTTGATATTTTGACATCTGTGTATGCAACTGAGATTAGCACCAGGCGTCTAGTTTGCATCGGCCTTCATGCCATTGACGTCCCCCTCCCCCAACTAGTTTTAGCCATCCTCTTATCATACCCTTCCTGTTTGGTAACCACCAGTTGACAGAATTTTAATAAATCTGCTTTATTTCATTTGTTCATTTGCTCTCTTTTTTTACCTTCCACCTAGGAATGAGATTACATTTGTCTTTCTACATCTGCTTTGTTTCACTTAGCATAATCCTTTCAGCGCCCATCCACGCTGTCGCAAATGGCATGAGTTTATGTATTTTTATAGTCTGGTAGTATTCCACTGTATATATGTGTAGTTTGATATATGCCACATCTTCTTTATCCGTTAGTGTTTTCATATTCTTCAGATAAATACCCAGGAGTGGCATGATGATCATATAGTAATTTTAGTCTTATTTATTGAGAAATCTGCTGTCCTATTTTGTATCTCACTAATAATCACTGAGAATGAACATCTTTCCATATACCTGTTGACCGTCTGTCTGCTGCTTTTGCTGCCGCTTTTGGAAAAATTCTATTCAGCATCTCTGCCCTTTTGGGGGGGGGGGGTTAGGGAATCTGCCCATTTTTTAATTGGATTTTGTTAAGCTGTATGAGTGTTTATATATTTTGGCTATTAGCCCCATCAAATGTATGATTTGCAATACCTCCTCCCATTTAGTAGATTGCCTTTTGGTTTTGGTGATGGTTTTTTCATAGCAGGAATAATTTTAGCTTGATATAGTCTCATTTGTTTCTGCTTTTGGTTCCCATGCCTTTGAGTGAAATCCCTAAGGCCAGTGTTAAGGAGTTTAACACTGTTTTCCACTATACATTTTATAGTTTTAGGTCTTCAATACATTTTTAGTTCATTTTTATATAGGGTATAAGATACTGGTTTGATTTCATTCTTCTGTATGTGGCTGTCTTTTTTTTTTTTAATATTTAGCAAATTAATGCTCCTGGGATGTGCCAAAACAGTAATAAAAAAAGAGTTCTTGTTGATAATAGCACAATCCTTTGTCATTTCCTGTGGGCTCTTAGAATTTTTTTTAGTAGACCTTCCCCCCCCCCTTTTTTTTTTCTAATTAAAATTTTTTTATGTTAAGCTGTCAGAGCATTTTTTCTGGAGTACACTCTTCTTCCTCTGTTTTGGCTTGGCTTGTCCTGTGTTAGCTACATAGATGATCCCTTATAATTTCTACTTATTCTTTCAGTTTGATCCATGCTTTCTTGGGGCTCATGACATCTTTTTTGTCCTTCTCTCTTGTTTGGCTTGAATCCTTTCTCAAGGAGCTTTCTAATAAGAGAAGGGCATGTGCCAAGTAAATGATATGATTTCTTACATGACAGAATATACCTTTATCCTGCCTTCACAAGGACAAACTGATGTGGTTATCGTACTGTGTCACCATGGTAGTTCTTCCTGAATACTCATTTTGTTATTTTTTCCCTTTAGTCTTATATGTTCAGCTGCCTGTGTATCTATCATCTCTACATGTCTAATAGATGTCTCGTGCATTTTGATTTTTGGCTTCGTTTGTTTTTGGCTTCAGGGAAAAAAAATGACTGGCTGCCTATGTTCATCACCAGGAAAAGGTGAAGCAAACTGGTCTGTCTTTTAGTTACTTTCCCTATTATCACCTTCACACTCTAATTTTGCAATGTTTCCAATGGTAAGACAGAGCTTCTTATCTATATTCCGGACTGTAGCTTCTTGGGCTTCAGTTCAGCTGTCCAGCAGGTTTCTATTAGAACTCCCAAATAGGTTGTTTCTCCTGCTTTGAAAATATCTTTCCTAGGCCCTCCCTGGTGGCCAATGGGTTGAAGCCACCACGGCGAGGCTGTCCTCAGCGCTTCTGAACGAGTTCCATCCCCAGCCAGCTCTGTATGTATAAATCTTAACAAATATATATATATATATATTTATTCATGCATACAGAACTGGGGTACAAGCCAGAGGTGTGGGGGCGATGAGAGAATTCACCGGAGAGATGGGGGAAGCAGAACGGGCAGATTGATGAAGTACACAGCTGAGGGGAGCAGCAGTCAGGTCAGGAGAGGTATGCTGCACCATTTGGATCACCTCTGAAGCCTGGGATGGAACTCACAAAAGCTGCTGTGGCTGTGTCCTAAACCATGTCGCGCCACCAGGGAGAGCCCATGAATAAATCTTTTTTTTTTTTAATCTCTTTCTCATTATTCATTGTCACGTTTATTTACTCCATCTTGTATTTTAATATTTGTATTTAAGGAGACTGAGCTGGCACAAGAGAGGCACTAGAAATTTTTTTAAATAGTAGAATGAAGTTAGTTGGTCTCTTTTCCCTGACAGGATGTCTTCATCACATTTTATTGCTCGCTACAGAAAGGATTTAAGTTCTGAAATGATTAGAACTAAAATTGCTCACAGAAAATCACTATCTCAGAAAGAAAACAGACATAAGGAATATGAACGAAATAGACACTTTGGTTTGAAAGATGTCAACATTCCAATCTTGGAAGGGAGAAGTCTTCTTGAATTAAATGAGACATATCAAGAATTTATTCCACAAAAGACCCATAGCAAGTCAAGTAAGTAAAGATCTATTGTAATTTTAACTGTTTTTTTTTTAGAGTGTATAGTAGTTGATTTAAAAAAGAAATCTGACCAAAAGAATGGAGTTTTGAAATATTCTAAATAATTTGGTATTTTTCACAGCTAATAATTTCTCCTATTTAAGTCAAATTCCCTATCTAGGCTAACCCATTCACCTATGAAGTGTTACAACAGTTTATTAAATCTACATTGCCTTATAAAAATCTTAAAGTTCTTCTGGAGCTTAGGTAAGCTAAATGATGACAAGATAAATTGACAGGGGACATAAAAATAGAACTAATTGAAGCATACATACAATGAGAACACTTTGCCAATGGAAACATTTCTTAGAAGAGTTAAAGAATTCCTCCTTGCAGTTTGACTGAAAAGTTGTATAGTCAGTAGAAAGGAAAGGACCAGTTAAAAAAGAAAGGGTCTCAGAAAAGATAAAAATACAATAATATGTGTTAGAAGGCAAGGGATGCTACAAGGAACGAGAAAAACTGAAAAATGACTTTTGCATCTAAACAGGGGTCTGTGGATTCCTATCTACTTATGTGTATGTGATAGGCTCTTGGAGCTAGGTTATAGTGAAATAGGGCAAGTATAATGAGGAGCAGTTAGGAGACTATTGCCGTTATTAATTCCAGTAGATTAAGTTAATTGATTAGTGTGGTAGCAGCAAAGATGGGTAGATACATTTTGAATCTACTTCAAGGTTTGAACCAAAAAGATTTCCCAGTGAGTTGGATGTGGGTTGATATAGAGGAGAGGAGATGATTTGACGATGTTCTATCTAAATTAAAGTATGGCGTGGCCATTTATTAATTTGTAAAAGTCTTGATAGAGGAACAGATTTTGGGGGGTGGTAGGATTAAGGATTAAGAATTCAGTCTTGGATATGTTGAATTTTGAGATGTCTGTGAGACATGTAAGAACAGATGATGAAAAGGTAGATACAGAAGATAAGTTTAGAGAAGTTCTGAGCTAGAGATATCAATTTAGGACTTACAGGTAGTGTTTGGAAAGCAGCCACACTTGCCACTGTAGCACTGATAATCCACATGGGATTTGAAGCTATAAGACTTCTGTTATTATCAGACTTTTGGTTGGAAAGTGAGGAGTAGGCACTCTAACCTTTAAAGTGTGAAGACATGAGGGGAAACTAACAAAGAACTGAGGAAAAATGCAAAATAAGAACGAGCAGAAGATAATGTTATCCTAGAAATTTCACCAACTGAAGCAGGCAAATCTAGCAGGGGAGACTGATCAGTGATGAAGTATCAGTGATGTTTGTCGGGTCAACTAATATTAGAAGTGAGAATTTGAACTTTACCACTGTGGAGGTCAGCGGTTATCTTGATGGTAGTTTTTTGGTGAACTTCAGGGAATGAAAGCCAGGTTGGGCTGGGTTCAAGAGAAGAGCAGCATCACCTGGGACTTGCTCTTACCCCTAAAGTTGAATTTGAGTGTAATGAAATCCTTAAATGTCATATTCAGGTTATAGAAAACATGAGGGCTAAAGTAGTGAGTGAAAAAAAGGAGGGAAACATACATATATAGGGGACACTGTTGGACAGTTGAACATCTTGTCAACAAGAGGATGGTATAAGAAGAGAGAATCTGGGCCCTCCCTGGTGGTGCAGCGGGTTAAAGCACAGCACTGAGAAGCTAAAGCCACTTCCACATGAGTTGGATTCCTGCCTGTCCCAGAGGTGACCACATGGCGAGGCAGACCTCTCCTGACCCGCCCGCTGCTCCCCTCAGCAGTGTACTTCCTAGATCTGCCTGTTCTGCTCCCCACTCTGTCTCTGCTAAAGCCTCTTGCCGCCCCTGAGCCTCTGGCCTGTACCCCAGTTCCGTATGAACAAATCTTTAAAAAAAAAAGAATCTGTTTGAGATCAAAAGATAAAACATAGCCAAATACAAAGTATGGATCTTGCTTGGTTCTAATTTTAATTAACAAATGATTAAAAAAACACTTGCCTGAAATAGGGAAGTTTTAATTTGATCCCTACAGATAATGCAGAATTCTAGATTTGTTAACTGTGATAATGGTGTGGTTATGAAAGAAAATGTCTCTTTTAGAGGTGCATACTGAAGCATTTAGGGGTAAATTTTTGTGAGTAGAAATTTTAAAATAGGAGTTGAAATACTTAAACTTTTTAACGTGAAACATTTTATGTACTGTCTTGTTTTCCTTTTTGGGTCACTGTTGTAGGTGATCTACGAAAACAAATGCTCCAAAAATACAAAGAAGAAAAGCAACTTCAAAAATTGAAAGAGCAGAGAGAAAAAGCTAAACAAGGAGTATTTAAAGTAGGACGTTTTAGACCTGATAAGCCTATTTTTCTTTTATCAAACAAGAATGTTGTGAAAACTGAACCAACAAAGGTAAATTTAGTAAACTAACTAAATGAAATTTTCAACGAGCTTAAATTAACTGTTTTTCCTTAGCCCTTTAACTCATTTAACTAGTTGCTAGTAGGTAGTAATAATGTAATAGTAGCTCAGATGATGAAAATCAGGTTTTGATGTAGGTAAGCTAAGTTGAGGTAAGAAATAGCCAAGAAAGTGAGCAGAGCTAGGTGGAAAAAGTAATGTTATACATAAAGATTTGGCATTATCTTGAAGGTGGTGAGCCAAAGGGCTTACAAATTAATATTGTCAAACTAATAATTCAGTAAGGTTACCCTGGCCTTGAAGATTATAGTCTGGGTAGGGAAGCATCAATAGATATGAAGACTACTTGTGAGACTATCATGTCAGTATAGGTGAAACAGGGTAAATAGATAAGGCAATGGGTTAAAAGAAAGAATTAAGTGCAAGACAAATCAAGAGGTAAATTTGACAGCTGGTGATGAATGAAGGAAATTGAAGAATCAGATATAAGATGATTTTAATTATATTAGTTTGAACAACTATTAAAGCATGCTGCTTCTAAAGGAGATGTAGCAAATAAAAAGAGAGACCTTCAGGTAGACAGAAATGAGACACCAGTGGCTAAAATTTAGACTTAGGATTAAAACTTTATTATATAATGAAACATGGAAATAAACTGAACCGTTAATTTTTTTAATTTTCTTTTCCTTTTGACTCTTAAAGGCTTTTCAATCTTCTGTACTGATTACAAGGTCAAAGGCCAAAGAGCAAATGGAACAAACTAAGGTATAGTTGATAGTAGATACTGCTACTAAAATGACAGATTGTACTTTTTTTCTTGGTAAACAAATTCATTTAAAATCTATTATCAAACTACATCAGAGAGGAAAAAGCATACATTGTACAAAAATGAAGTATTATGTAAAATATTTAGGACATTTTAAAAAATTTCTTTTTCTATTACAGCTTCAATGACAGTGACTTATTGTATTAATTACACCTAAATTTGGCTAAATGCTAGTGAAATATTGTATTAAATTAAACATAAATTTTGTACATAATTTTGTGCATAAATTATACATAAATTATATTGTATTGATTATACATAAATTTGGGTAAATGCTAGTGAAATATTCTTGAGAGTGATCCCAAAATTCATCTTTGTGTCATGCTTATTTTTGTTTGTTTACTGGACTTCTATTATGTATTCCATGTTACCATCAGTCCTCAAAACACTAGTATGGATAAAGTTAGTAGGAGGGTTACTAAAATAAAGTGGGAAAGGAGGGAAGTTCTTTGCTTTGTTTGATAAGGAAGCTAAGTTTCATATATTTAATACATTTTTTAGTTAACTATCATGTTACTCTAAACTCTGGAATATAGTAAAAATAAGTATATACAATGTCAGTGTGTCATATGTATTTTGGAGGATTTTTTGTTTTTGTTGTTTCTGTGATAAAGAGTATGTAGTTGTGGGTGGGATTTTGATAGACAATAAATCATTCTAGTACCAATTTCTGATGTAGGTAGGAGGTTCATTCACATGCAATACTCGGCATCAGCTTGGTGTCATACAGTCTGACTCAGTTCTGGCACTATCTACCCAGATTAGGTACCAAATTTGGCAGGGGAATCTCACTGAGATCGTGGCATTTTGAATGAAGTCTTTGAGTGGAAGAGTGAACCATGGGAAAGAACTTTCTACCCAGGAGAAGAATTTTTCTAGGTGAAATTGAAAGTTCTTAAGGTGAAAACACATATAAGGTGTTTAAGGACTCAGGGGACATATAGTCAGCTGTCATTTAGTAGCTTAAATTATTAACACTTTCTAATTTTTCTCCCAAATTTTACGGATCTGCTGTTTATGTAAGAATACAACTTCACACCTCCAGATGTGCATATGCTTCACTCACCACTTTTTTTTTCTCCTAAATTCTAGGATCTAAAGTTTCTAGGAAATTTATATAATGAAAAACTTGTTTTCTTATTTTACTTGAGGTAGTGGATTTTTTGCTGTGTCATTTATAATTGGCAGTGTTCAAATGAGGGTAATTTATAGACTTAAAAATGTGGTAGCTTATTCATTATATAGCTTAATTAATTATAATTAAATACATAATCTTTTAAACAGGTTAATAATGGGAGTGATATTCGAGCAATCAGACCTGGACAAAGAAAAACTTCTGAAAAGAAAGTATTGGAAAAAGACAATAAAGGTAGATATATTAGCAATTATTATATCTCTGATGCTACCACACAATACTTCAATGATTCAATTAAAAAGCATTTGATTCTGATTATTTTTTCCCACAGTTGTACAACCAGTAGTGCCCACATCCATGAGAATGACTCGATCAGCTACTCAGGCGGCAATGCAGATTGTCAAAACAGTCACATCCACTACAGCAAGAAAGCCGGTCACAAGAGCTACTAATAGTAAGACTGTTTCTTGATCAATGACTAAATTACAGGTCCTTGAGGGGTTTTTTTTTTTTTGTACTTAACTTTTTGAGTCTTCATATACTTTTTTGAGTAGGAGAGAAAAAATAGGGAGGTTTAAATTCCTGAAGGTAGGTTTTATATCTCCATAGCATCCAGTTAGCAAGTAGTAGGTGCTCAAATGTTGAACTACCTGAACTGGTATAAGCAGCACTTCAAAGTGAAAAATTAATGGCCCAAATTAACTAGTTAACCTGCTGATGGAATGGAGTGTAACCACTTAAAAACAATGTTGTAAAAGAACATTTAAATCTCATGGTTCTTGATATACTTAATGAGCAAAGAAAATTGGTTCATATTATGAAAACCATATCACAATTAAAAAAATAGTGTATGACTATGTGAACATACCATCATGTGATTATATTACATAGTCATCTTTTTCTTAATTGTTCTTTGTGCTTTTCTTTATTTTCCTAATTTTCTATAATGTTTTTGATATTTTCACATTCAGAGGCAAAATGTAAACATTTTTTCTGTTTTGAAAACAGATGGTATATACTTCACAGGAGAATTTACATTTTTACCCACTTTATAATGACTTTTAACCACAAACTTGTTTAAAATGCACATTCCTGTTGGTGCCTTTTTTTCTTTCCCCCAATTTCCTACTACTATTTTTTTTTTGAGAGTACACCACAGTGATTTTATTTTCTTATTTACTTTTGTGTAGAAGAACTGGGTGTAGGCTGGAGGTGTGTTGGGTGAGAGTGGGGAGCAGAACAGGTGATTTGAAGCAGCAAGGCAGACAGAAGAGGTCTGCTGAGCTATGTGTGGGTTAGCTCCCTGGTGAGGATTGAACTTCCCTGGTAGCAGTGATAGCCTTGAGATGTAACCCCTAGGCCACCAGACAGGCCCATTTCCTAGATAATGCAGCATCATCTATGTAGTTAAAATGGATAATATATTTCATTTTTATTTTAGAAGCAGAAAGTAAGTCACCAAATAAAGGAATACCTGCCCAAAAGATAGAATCTGACAAGGTAAAGTATGGACATAGATACTTTCATAAAGTTGCTATTTTCATAAAGAGATTAAATATACAGGACTACTTAAAAGTTAACCTACATGTATGTTAACATTTCTTGAACTGTAATGACCTATCAAGAGGATTTACTGTTGTTTTTTGGGTATCTTGTCTCCAGATCTGTATAAGTAAAGAAAACAGGTTAATAGAAGACAGAAAATAATTTAAAAGCAGCTACAGACACCTTTGACTAGTATAAAGTATACTAGTATTTTTGAAAGTTACAAAGAAAGCAAATCTTTAAAGTTTTCATCACAAGAAGATATTTAACTGTGGTGATGATGTATATAACTAGACCTACTATGGTGATCATTTTGTGTTTTATATATATATATTGAGTCTTTTTGTGGCTTACCAGAAAAGAATACAATGTTATATGTCAACTACATCTCAAAAAATGTGGCAATTGAACTGGAAGAAGAAAAATGCCACACATTATTGCTAATTTTACTGTGTTACACTGGAAAATAATTTTCCTCACCTGATTATTTATAATTAAGGTTATTTTAAAAAGATTTCATACTTGACAGTAGTATTCATCCAATAAATATTAGGTTTCTGATTTAACCACTAACCATACTTGTAAGCCAAGTAAAAAGATTTGTATGTCTTAGTTTACATGTTAATATGTCTTAGTTTACATGTTAATTTACACTTTAGTTTTCAGGTAGTTTGTTTTAATATTTTAATATCCAAAAATAATTATTCTGTTCTTAACTAAGGATCTTTTTTTTTTTTTTCCTTTTTCTGGATTATAATAATTGCTTGATGTAGCTGTTCTTCTAATTCCACCTATACATTTAATTGTATTTCTTTTTATCTCTTGAATTTTTGTACAAGAGACATACTTCTCAACTTGCACATTTTCAGATCTGTAAAAATTGATTGAATATATCCATAAAAGAAAAATTCTCATTCTTTCTGTTTATACATTTAGGTCATTTCTTTTAAAGTTGATAGTAAAGAAAATACATTGCATTCAACTACCAGTAGAACAGATGGAACAGATCTGGATGGAGCCTTGTCAAAAATGGAAAACTTACCTAAGACAAACACTGCAAAAACGAAAGGGAAGAATTCCTTTGCACCAAAAGATTTTATGTTTCAGCCACTAGATGGTCTAAAGACCTATCAAGTAACACCTATGACTCCCAGAAGTGCTGATGCTTTCTTGACACCCAGTTACACGTGGACCCCTTTGAAGACAGAAGTGTAAGAATGTAATGCTAATAGCAAACTTGCTAAGATCAAGAACAAGAACTATTTTTTGTTCTTGATCTGTGCTTTTTAGCACTTATTATTTAGTTAGTAAACTATGTGAATTAGAAATCATTTGGTCTTTAAAAAGCAATCTTCAGAAGGCTGCAGTAATGTATTTAACAGTTTTGATTTTTTAATATGTTGTTATTTTCATGGTACTGTTTTGGATTCTGGGGATTTCTTTTTCTTCTTTTGAGTTTAGTAAGTGAATTTATTTTAACACTTAGAAATATATTTTTAGAAGAGATTGCTGTAATTCTATAGCTTAGACATGGTTTGGGTTTTTGTTTGTTCTCTTTTGCTGAGTTACTTTAGAAAATACTATCTCTAAAGAAAAACTATTCACTTGTCAGGGCAATGAGGAGGGCCAGGACAATCAGTTGAAATCTTTAAAAGAAAAGGCAAAGTTGTTTTGTAAGATTCACTAGTGCCATATATATTAGAAACTACTCAGAGCCCCTAGATAACTAAGTGCAATATTTTATGAAAAGATCTTTAAAATCTTTGGATTTCATTACAATTAGAAAAGATGGATATTCCTACGACATAGGTATTTGAATTTTATTCTCTCCAGATACATTTTTTTAAATATAATAGTTTATTTTAACATCATTTTGTGCCTTTTTCCATCTCAGTTGTAATCCCTGTGGGCTTCCCATCACCATAGTCCAGCGCACTCCCCCCTCCTTTTTTGATCCCATTCCCCACTCCATCCCTATATAATGTCTTCCAGATAGACATTTTTTAAAGAAACTAGAAATATTTCTATTTGTTTTCACATTTAAAAAAAAATAAGTTTTATTTTGAAATCCTTCAAAAATAGATATGGAGTTCATGTTTCATGAAGTATATTTTTGCTGTTTTTAGTGATAAGACTCAAGGAGCAGTAAAAGAAATTTTGACACAAACAAGTAAAACTTACTCTACCAAGACAGTACATCAAGATTCAAGTAAATCACAGTGTCCTTCAGTTTTTTTAAGAGTTTGCAATAAAGGTATGGTATTTTAATAAAATTTCAACTGTTTTTTGGATTATGATTCATCAGAGATTTGTTTAGAGTCCATTTCCACCATATGGTTCAGGAATGTTACTTCAAGTGAGAAAAAATGGGAAAGCTTGGGAAAAGACATTCTAAAAAATTAGAATGAAGAATACAGACTGAGAAGGGGGATTCAAATGTAAATTTGAAGAGCTAAAGCATAGTGAGGTACAGCTTAGAGGAGATGTGATTGAAATCTATTAAGTAGAAATAAAATTTTGAAATTCAACATTGAAAAAAATTGAAGGCCCAAAAATATTTGTCTTTTTATGGGGGTTTTATTTTAGGAATTACTGCTTGGAAATTTATGTGCCATATTCTCTTCATAGAACCTGTCTTAAATAAAAGTGAAACAACTAAAAGCTCAAATGGCCTCCCAATCAAAGGAGACTCGTCACTTCAAACAAATGAAGAACATATACCTCAGCCACAACATGATGTGCCATATTTCAGGTTTGTCTGTTTTTTCCTAGTGTAAAAGTTTTGTGTTCATGTCTAGACATTGAAAGCTGACGTATCAGTTATTTTGACCTTAATAAATTAGGTATACCTAGGTAGAAATTGCCTTTGGGGTATTTTCATTTCTTTTTAAGATTTACCTACTTAAGCATACAAGAACTGGGTACAGGCTAGAGATGGGGGGATGGTGAGAGACCCACCAGAGACAGTGGGTAGCATGGTGGATTGACTGAAATACACCACTGAGGGGAGCATCTGGTGACACAGGAGAGGTCTGCTGTGCCATGTGGATCAGCTCCCTGGCTGGAGAATCAAACTTGTGCTGCAGTGGCAGTGAACAGCCCCATAGTGCTGATACTCAACCCTCTGTGCCAACAGGGAGGAGCCCACTTATTTTTTAAATTTCAGTTATTTTTCAATAGCTGGTGCATTTTTATGGTTCCTAATTCAATGGGTAGTAACAGATACAATTGGGAAGTAACTTCCTGTCTGCTGATGTTTGAACATTTCATGGAGGCAAGTGTGAATTGATTTTTTATGAATATTTCCAGATAAAGAAAAAGATGTGTATTTATGGATTTATTTATACTACTTTAATGCTTTTAAATTCTGGAGACGTTGCATTTTAGGATATTATGTGTATTTAATGACCCAATGGTATCTATCTGTATGTGCATGTATGTACCACAGTTTACCTAGTGGGTCTCTGTTGCTGGTTATTTATATTGAGTTCAGTCAACTACTATTACAATGAAGGCTTTAGAAAATGCCCTTGTTCGATTTTCACTTCTCATGCGCAAAATATTATAACCTCAATTTATATTCCCTCTAACAAGGTATGGGGATTTCTATTTTCTTTTATCCATTTAAAAAATTTTCCACAAAGACAAGTTAATGTTTGTATTATTAAAGAATAGTGGGAGGTGGTAGGAGGTTCTTTGGCCAGCCAAATTGTGAGATAGGATTCCTCTCTAGCTGTGAAGAGTGAAAAATGAACAAACATTCTGTCTTGAGGAACCTCAACAGTATCACTAGGTCCTTAAAGGTCTTGGAAACAAATGAGATGACTGCATTTGGAGAGAGGCTCCAACATTCCATATATTGAAAATGATTATACATTTTGATTCTTAAGTGAATGTAACAAGAAAATTATACCCTTTCCATTGCATTGATTAGTTTTCTTGAGCTTTGCCAATCAAATAGATGAGAAATATTATCTTGCTAAAATTTTAATATTTTTATGAATGAATTTTACTTTTTATTTGTATTACTTTAAATATTTTTAGAGCATAAGATTTTAGAATTGTAGGGTATTTCAGAGATTAGTCCATTGTTGTTCAACTGAGAGATATTGTGATAAAAAGCAATTTACCCAACTAAATAATGTCCTTTTCTCATTAATTGTCTTCTATTAATGCCAATGGATATAAGTAGCTAAATTTTTCTTCTAAAAAAGAAAACCATCTTCAGGCCCTCCCTTGTGGCACAGTGAGTTAAAGCACAGCACTGAGAAGCTAAAGCCACTTTCGCATGAGTTCGATTCCCGCCTGCCCCGGAGGTGATGACATGGCGCGGCAGACCTCTCCTGACCCGCCTGCTGCTCCCCTCAGCAGTGTACTTTGTCTATCTGCCTGTTCTGCTCCCCACTCTGTCTCTGGTGAAACCTCTCACCATCCCTGAGCCTCTGGCCTGTACCCCAGTATGTACGAATAAATAAATCTTTAAAAAAAAAAAGAAAGAAAGAAAACCATCTTCAGTTTTCTCCTTCCAGGATGAATTTTATGAAGAAACAAATTTACCTTAGGCCATGGCCTTAACCTTAGCACTATTAACATTTTAAACTGAGTAATCCTTGTTGTATGACTGTCCTTGGCAGGTAGGCTATTTTGTAGCATCCTTAGCGGTAAATCTCCTTCAGCTGGTAATAATGAAAAATGCCTCTAGACTTTGCCACATGTTCCCTGGACATCAAAAATGATCCCATTTGACAATCATTAAAACCTAGTAGAGAGAACCTATGAAGCCATATTACTTAATTCCTGATATGCAGTTTTTAGCTTAATCTCACCTTGGTAGTTGGGTTGGTCTTAGTTCCATGGACAGTAACAGAACTGATAATAGTGGTAAAGGATAGAACAAAAAAGAAATTAGATTATATTAACTTGAAAAATTGGCTATTGTCATTAACCTAAATAAGTTTCAGGTGTAGAAAGATGTACATACATAAGGTATCAACTTGTATTTATAGATTTTTTAAAATAGCATAGTTCATAAAAATGATTTTAGGCATTGGCTCTGAGAAATCAGTAAGCCTTTTATATCTTCCTAACATTATTGTGACATAACATTAATCTGTAGTATGAGAAACATTTGTAAAACTGAAATGTTTGCCACCATTTTAGAAATGTTCTCCAGTCAGAAACTGAGAAATTAACTTCACACTGCCTTGAGTGGGACAAGAAACTTCAGTTGGATATTCCAGATGATGGTGAGGGAACATTTTTTTTACATCGTAGCTTTGTTTCTTTTAATATTTATCTGAAGTGTAAAAATCTAATGTTGCCCAGGCGTATAATTTCATTGCTATTCAAAACAGCAAGTTCTTCTATCTTAATATATGTTTGCAACTATGCTAAAATGGTTCATGACTTAAAATATACACACTATTAGAATACTGACTACCTTTGGGACATTGACCTGACCTTGGAGAGCCTGGGGACAGCTCATTCATGTGGTAGTTGCCCACATGAACCAGTCCAACATTATGCCTGGTTACCAAGCATCCCAGTCTGTGTGAGGTCATTCAGCGATGCTGAGAGAGGCAGGAAGACCCACACAGCTCCACTGTGGGACACAAGGGTACGGTCAGACCCTCGACTATGCCATTTCCCTTTCACTGCAATAAACTGCTGAACTCTGTGTGGAAGAGTTTAAAAAAAAAAAACAAAAAGAATATTGGCTATCATTCCTTAGAGTCATACATTTGTCTGTTTTGTTAGATTTTTTTAGATGTGACTTTTTGGATGGCATCTGTATCTGATATTGTTACATAAAAATATTTTCAGAATGCGTATGGACCAGATTTTTTTTTAAATAAAGCTCCTTGATCTTATTTATTTGAGAAAGCAATTTAGGTAAAAATGATGTGTATGTTATCAATGGGAAATGCTTCTTAGATACTGATATACCATAAATTGAGTTTCAATTCTTAAAAAAAATTCAGAGGGGAAGAATGCTGTTTAGAATGCAGCAAGATATATGAAAATAAATATTGTGATTTTTAGCAGAAATTGAAGCAAATAGTTAATGCTCAGTATTTGTTCTAATATTTTTGTTTTCCTTAAAGGTAAGAATTTCTTCTGTAAGCTCCAGAATATCTGAGTTGAGTTGTTCTTATCAATTGGTTAATCTGCAATACTGTTTTGTCCTTTACCTTTAAAAATCTTATATTTTGCTTTAGCTAAAGATCTTATTCGCACAGCAGTTGGTCAAACAAGACTTCTTATGAAGGAAAGGTTCAAACAGTTTGAGGGACTGGTGGACAATTGTGAATATAAAAGAGGTGAAAAAGAAACTACCTGTACAGATCTGGACGGATTTTGGGATATGGTTAGTTTTCAGGTATGTGGGGAAGTATTTTGAGTCTGGGTTTTTTTGTTCGTTTTATTTTTTTAAGTGAGGTAGCAGTTAAACCAGGTAATGATTGCTGCTTTGATATCTATAGCACTAAATGGGATACTGGACAGAACCTAGATTTTATGACTAATGTCCCCACAGGTCCCATATAGTGAGGATAACTTAAATGTAATTTGGAAATTGAGATTATATTCAGTGACTATATGATTCAACATGTGAGAAAATGAGTAGATCTCATCTTTAATAGTTCAGTCCATCAATGCCTGGTTGATAAATAGGAACAGTCTCTGTCCTAGAAGGAGTTTATAGTTCTCTTTGAGTCAGACACAGCACGTAATTCCACAGTGCTATGACAGGGGGGACACTCTAAAAAGATCAGGAACGTTATAGTTTGAGCTGACTTTAGAAAGCTAGAGTTTTTTTTATCTTATTTTAGAAATAAGCATCAAAATACTATTTCAGGAACTTTTAAAAGCCAGCAATCCCTAGATAGTTGAGATGAGTCTAAAAGAAAGCCCAAAGTAAACATAGGAACAAAGAGGAAAAATAGGAACAATTTAGAAAAAACATTTTCTCTGTTTGGAGAGAGATGGGTAATAGGGGTGATAAATACAAGGAGAAAAGAAAATTTTAAATGCAAGTTTTAATATTCTCAAAGCAACCAGAGATGTCATCTACCAAAATCCATCATCTATAAGAACAGCTATTTAAAAAATGAATTCAGAGGACAACAAAAATAGCTTTTTGAAGTTAACAACTATGAAAGCAGAAGTGTGAGATTCAATAGAAAGGGGGAATATAAAGTTAAAATCTCATGTTAAATAGAGTAAAATAAGAGAGACTGGATAGGAAAATCAGTATAATATCCAAATAATGGGAATTCCAGAAGAAAACATAAAAGATAGTGAAGACATAATCAATGAACTAGTTTTTAAAATTTTCCCCAGAACTGGAAAACGTGAATTTCAGATTGAAGGAGTCTAGCATGGTGAGCCAGCACATCATTAAATATGATTATATAACTCTTAGGATAAAGAGAAAAACCTAAATGCTTCCAAACAGAAAACAAGTTTCATGCAAAAGGTCAAGAATCCAAATAGGCTTGGGTTTCTCAGTGGCAGCACTGAAGATTGGGAGAACAATACCTTCCAACATCTGAAGGAAAATAACTTCCATCCTGTAGTTTTATACTCAATTACATGTGAGGGAAGGCATTTTTCAGACACACCTAATACTGAATTTTAACTCCCATATACCTTTCCTTAGGGAATTAAATGAGAATGTACTAAACAAAATGTAGTAACCTAGAAAGGGAGAGTAGGCACTACCCAGGAAGGGGCTGAGGGAATCATTGGGGAGGTGAAAGAAGAAGGCATGCAGTACTTTAAAAAGCAGTAGTTCAGGCTGGAGCAGGAGGGTCAGGAGCCCTGGGAGATCGGTCACTGCAACTGAATGAGCAGAATGGCTGGTTGTCGAAGAGTTACACTTACTGTACAGAATTTAGAGGTGAATTGATAATAGATAAATAAGAAACTAAGCAGAGAAAAAACAAAATCATAATTAAATCTAGAGAAAAAGTGAAGAAAACATAATTAACTCCCAGATGTAAATAGTGTCTGTAGTCATTAGGCATTATTTTATGACCAGTTTTTTTATATTACTACCAACTTTCATGTTGAGTTAGTTTACTCAGATCCTTCTTAGGTGACCAGTTAATATTGTGATTTTTAGTGTCATCATTTATGGGTTTAAAAAACTGATTTGTTTGTATGACTTACAGGTATAATCTTTACCGATCACATTTCCCAACTAAGGTCAGTGAGAGAGAGCCTCTTCAAGTTGGCTCCTGTGACTTTTTTTTTTTAAGAGCTGAATTGAGGTATAATCTACATATCATAAAATTTCCCCACTTTGAGTGTATAGTTCAATAAGTTTCAGTAAGTTTACTGAGTTGTACATCCATTACCACAGTACAAATTTAGAACATTTTATCACCACAAAAATATCCCTCTGTCTGCCCACTACTTAACTCCCAGCATAAAAAACCATTCATGTACCTGCTGTTTTTATACATTTGCCTTTGCTGGGTATTTCATTTAAAATGTGTGGTCTTTCATATGTGCTATCTTTCATTTAGCATGATGACTTTGAGGTTCATCCATGCTATCTGTGTTATGTGTCTTTTTATTGTTTGGTAGTCAGTATTCTGTTGTCATACATTTCTCTTTACTCACCAGTTGGTAGACATTTAGTTTTCCACTCCTTGGTGATAATGAACAATCATCTGTGGATATTCACATATAGTCATAGTGTGGCTGTTTTCATTTCCCTTGGAAACTACTGAGCCATATGGTAAATTTTTGTTTAACTTTTCAGGGAACCACCCAACTCTTCCAAAGTGATAACATTTTACATTCACACCAAGAATGTGTTCAGTTTTCTTTTGTTTCTTGACACCCTCATGTCTTTTTCACTAAAACCACCCCAGTGGGCGTGAAGTATCTTGTTGTTTGCTTTCATTTCCCTAATTAATAACAATGTTAAGCATCTTTTTTATATACCAATTAGATATTCAAATGCCTTCTTTAATGAAATGTTTATTTAAATCTTTTGGCCATTTTTCTAAGTTGGGTTTGGCTCTTTACTGACATGCAATTCTGGATATAAGACCTTTATTAGATTTATTACTTAAAATTTTTTTCCCCCCAGTTTGTGGCTTGTTTTTAAGATTTCTTGATGGTGTCTTCTGAAGTGCAAATGTTTTCATTTTAATAAAGTTTAGTGTATCAGTTTTTCTCCCTTTTTTGTAATTTTAACATCATGTATAAGAACTCTTTTTGCCAAACCACAGACCACAAGATTTTCCTTTTAATTTTATTCTAAAAGTGTTGTCGTTTTTGCTGTTACAGTTAGGTTTCTCATCCATTTGGAGTTTCTTGTGTACCTGGTATAGGGAGGAGTTTAGATTCTTCTTTGTTTTTATGGATATCCAGTTTCCCTAGTTCCATTGAAAAGATGATCTTTCCTCATTGAATTGCGTTGGACAGTTGCTTAAAATCAACTGGTCTTAAGTATAATCCTGAGTCTTTTCTGGCATTTACATTGGTTTTTTTAAGGAAGAGAGGTTGGAAGTATTATGTGTAGAATTATGTGTGAGGGAACTGGAAATATAGTCTACCAAATTGTTGACAGTTATTCTAAAGGAGGAGACTGAAAATACCAGAAGGATTAGAATGCATGCATTCTAATATATTCATCTGTACACTCATTGAATATTTTGAAATAAGATTATGTCAAGAGAATCAGAATGCAAGGCCCTATCTGGGAGAAGATATTTGCAAGAGACCTATCTGATAAAGAATGTCTTTCTAAAATATACAAAGAACTCTTAAAACTCAATCAGAAAACAACCAACCTTATTTAGACAAAGCTGAGCAGACATTCAACCAAAGAAGATATACAGATAGCAAATAAGATAGAAATGATAAGCATCAGATGTTATTTGGAGAGTTGCCAATTAAAACAACCAGATACCTATTAGAATGGCAGAAGTTCAAACCATTTGACTATCAAATCCTGGTGAGGATGTGAAGCAACAGAAACGCATTCATTGCTGGTAGAAATGCAAAATGGTACAGCTACTTTGGAAGACAGTTTGGCAGTTTCTTATCCAGTGATCATGCCCATTGGTATTTGAAAGCATGTCCACACAGAACATGTACACATGTTTATAGCAGCTTTATTTTTAACCACAACAACCAATATGTTCTTCAGTAGGGAAATATTAATAGACAAGTTTCTGTTTGAAAGAAGTAGGGGAGTGGGTTTGTATAATTTCAGATTGCTCTCCTACTGCTGTAGGAGAGATAATTTAGGAAAGTTATTCACATACAGTAGACTTTATGTATTTTGGAGGTTTGTAAGGCCAAAAATAACAATGAACAATTTTACCCTATGTATTTTTTATTTGAACACTAAATTGAGAATTCTGTTGTATAATTTCATATGTATTATATGTAAAAAAAACCAGCCTGAATGAACATTATTTCTTTTTTTATGTTTCAGTTTTGTTTGTTTGGTTAGCATTAATTTGATAAATGTGTGTTTTATTTATTTACAGGTAGAAGATGTAAACCAAAAATTTAGCAATCTGGCCAAACTTGAAGAATCTGGATGGCAAAACACTGATAATACAAGCAAAAATGTCTTTCGGGTAAGTTTCTAGATTTTATATCCAAATTTCTAGTATAGATTTTTTACTTTAATTTTTGGTGTTTTAATCTTTGAAAACATTTAGCTTCAGATGTTTCATCATTTTACAAAGTAAACTCCATTCTTTTTGTGGTAATTTTTTTCTAGTAATGTTTTGAATTCAAAGTTTCTGTTTATTATATGTTCTTATGATGTTTTGTTTGACATTACAGAAAGAATGAGGAAATTATCAGCACAAAATTTCTGGAGGGAGGAAAGTAGAGACTGGTTAAAGTGGGGCACCCACACAGAGAGCTTCTAAGTTACTAAATGCTGGATTCTGTGCGTGTTTGTTTTATCTTTAAATTGTGATTGCACATTTTGTTGTAATTGTAGCAGTGGGTGCAGTAGGAGATAGCTCACATATGCTTGATATGTGCCAAATCTTCTTCCAAATAACCTACATATATTAACTCATTTAATCTTTGTAACAGTCCTTTGATGTGGGTGCTTGCTATTATTTTCATTTTACAGTTGAGAAATCTAAGACCCAAAAACATTTAATCAAAGGTTTCAGGCCAGACTTCCCCATTCCAGATGTATGTTCTAAGCAATGCACTATCTATATGCCTCCTTTCTGATTTAGGTACTCTTATCACTGACGTATTTCAAAATGAAAGAACTTTTTTTTTTAGGAAAAAAAACAAAACAGATTATCTTCTTCTTCCCTGTACTTTTTCTTATACATTTTCCTGTTTTTCTCTAAGATTTTTTTGTGTGTGTGGGTCCATTCTTATCTTTTGTAATTTTTCTTCAAGTAATGTTTTAAACTCAAAAAGTCTCTGCTTCAAATGGATACTTCTCAGACTGCCTTAAGGCATTGCCAGTTTTTCCTTTTAACTTTGGAAAAATGAGTGTGGCTATAAAATCACGTTCCTACATTTTATTATGCTATGTACTCCAAATAAAACTCTTAAATCCTGCCTTAGGGAAGAGGTTAAAATGTAAAAACCTTATTATAAAATTATTTTACTAATGAAATCTCATGACACAGACCCTGAAGACAGTAATGAAATTTAGTAAATTTCTAACCCCCTAACCAATGAAGGATGCTTGAACATTTTGAAACTACTGTGGGTATTTCTCCTTGAGACTTAATCTTGGAGACAGGAATAACATCAGTTGTGCCGATTGTGATTTTGTTTTATTAGAGCCTTGTAATGTCTCCTCTTATCACCAGGTGTCTCCCTCTTCCTATTCTATTTTATGGACTACTGTTAGATTTGTTATGTTTATTCAGTAATCTCTGTACTTACATGTCAGTACCTCTCTCCTATCTCTTATTCATTGGCCTCTCCATCAGCCTTGTTTTCTTCCTATCAGCCTTCAGAACTTAGATATATTTAATGGTCTTTTTTTTTTTTTTTTTTTGAATATTTGTTTACTCATGCTTACAGACCTGGAGTACAGACCAGATTTGTGGGAGGATTCACCAGAGACAGAGTGGGGAGCAGAAAAGACAGACTGACAAAGTACACTGCTCAGGGGAGCAGTGGGCGGGCCAGGAGAGGTCTGCCGCGCCATGTGGGTCAACTCCCTGGCGGGGGGGATTGAACTCATGCTTCAGTGGCCTCTGAGAGCTTGTTAATGGAGTGCTTTTACCCATTGTGCCACAAGGGAGAGCCCCTCTTTAATGGTCTTGTCTTGGTTACATTAAGAAAAAAATAAACTGTACTATACTAAAACTATACTAGTGCCATCCACATCTCCCTATAGTTATCTGTATCCCATCTCTTTACTTTCAGACAGCTTCCTGGAAAATTTGTCTATACTCTCATTAGTTTGATTGCTGCTTATCCTTCCCACTCACTGGAATTCAGCTTCACTCCTTCTTAACTACTCTACAATAGTTATGACCAGGGGTATTTACTTAGTAGTTACTAAAGTTATTAGGGGCTTAATTATAAAATCAAATGCTTCTGCCCCGTTAAATATGGTCTACTTCCTCTTAAAATTATATCTTACTGATTTTCCTCTTTTACTGTGCCCATTTTTAAGTCATGTTTACAAGTTTCTATTTTTCTATTTATCCCTTATTGTAATGTTCAGAATTCTTTCTTCACCTCTTTTCTCACCTTCCATATTCTTTCTCTGCAGTCTTAACCCTGTGATGATTCCCAAATCTGTATTTAAAACCACACTTAGGCCCTCCCTAATGGCGCAGCGGGTTAAAGCACAGCACTGAGAATTTAAAGCATCCTCTGCATGAGTTCGATTCCCGCCTTCCCTGGAGGTGACCACATGGCGTGGCAGACCTCTCCTGACCCGCCCGCTGCTCCCCTCAGCAGTGTACTTCGTTGATCTGCCTGTTCTGTTCCCCACTCTGTCTCTGGTGAGGCTCTCACCACACCTTAGCCTCTGGCCTATACCCCAGTTCTGTATGCACAAATAAATAAATCTTTAAAAAAAAAAAAAAAAAACACACTTAGTACACCTTAAAGTCATTGAAATAATCTCTAAGCACACTAGTGTTTTCCTTCCTCAGGGAATGGTGTTCCCATCTCATCAGGTGCCTGAGATAGAAATCTGGGTATCTTCTTTGGTGTTTTTTCCTTTTTCTCTTTTACATCTTTACCCTGCACACATTCAAGATGATCACTAAGTTGTGTCAACTATCCCTTCAGTTTGTTCACTTTTTCCAGTTCTTTCTCACTTTAACTGCCAACATCATTTCTCTTTATTGCAACAGTCTCCTTCCTTAATGCCTTGTAATCTTCCAGTCCTTTCTCCAGGAGGATAGATATGTATTTGTAAAATACATATCTGATAATGTTAATTTCCTGGTTAAAAATAATCAGTAATCTCTATTCCTTTGTCCCATGTTGCAAAGGATTTTAGAATCTAGCTATTAATAGCCTGTCTCTTACCAGCTCCTCTGTGCTTCCTTTCACTTCTGGTTTGGCAAACTTTCTCTTCTCTCTACCCCTCCCTTTCCTCACCTCTTCTATTAGCCCAGTGAACTATGATTTGAGCTTAGTTACTACTTCCTTGCCTGTCTTTTTTGAGACCTCTGAAGATTGATTTAGGTGTTATCTGTGTTCTCCATCCCCTGAGTTTATCTCTAACATAATACCCTTCTTAGTAGCCTTATCTGACTCTTCTGCTGTGAAGTTGTGAACTCCATGGGGGCAAGAACTTTGTCCTTTATTTTTTTTGACTTCTTACATGTTTAGCACTTGGTTAGGACTTAGTAAGTATAAGATGTTTTATAATTTTTATGTATACTTTTTTTTTCCTCTAGGTGATAACGAATAGTTTTAATAAATGTAATGATTCTCTTTGCAGAAAAAAGTTGTCTCAGGTATAGCGAGTAAACCCAAACAAAATGATGGTGGAAGAATTGCAGCAAGAAATCGCCTTGCTGCCATAAAAAATGCAATGAAAGAGCGAATTAAGCAGGAAGAACTTGCTGCCTCAGCAGACTCAGCAATGCCAAAAGAAGTCGATAAAATAGTGTTTGATGCCGGATTTTTCAGAGTTGAAAGTCCTGTTAAATCATTTTCAGGTTAGTTTTTCTGCTAACCTTAAAAGAAATGTTTGGGTTTGATGAGCACTTGTGGGAGAGTGAAAAATAATTTTCATATGAAAGGGCATGAGTGATACGTGATTTGTAGATAAATTATATATCTTCAAACACATGCAGATCACATTTTGATGGGTATGCCTGTGATTAGATTATCTTGAGTGTGATATATCTTCTAAAATTGCTTTCATATTTTTAAAGTGATTTCATATCCTTTATTGCCACTTAACTACACGATCCTATGAGGTATGGGGCACAGGATCCCACCAGGCTAAGGGACATGATGGAAGCATGGGGAGCTGGGTGATTTTTCTTCAGGTTAATTGGACTAGAATTTAATATGTAAAGGAAATTTAGATGGCAATCCATCATACTTCTTTAGCTTTACTTTAAGGAACATGTGTTTTTGAAATATAATAAATGGATTAATTTCCTAACAGTGACATCAGTTTTTAATACTTCAGGAAGCCATCATAAGATTTTCTCACTGTGATTGTATTTTTCAAATGCTGTTTTCATAGACTATCTTTATTAGATTTCAGTAATTTATCAACCATAGTATAAGAAGTCATAGCTGAAGTAATCTGTCCCCAAATCTTGGTAGGCACTCCCATAAGTGCTTCAACTGCTAGATTATTTTTATTTTTATTTTTTTTAATCCCGTGCATTTCTCTCCCCACCCCCCCGTTTTTGATCCCATTCCCCACTCCACCCCCGCAAAATGTCTCTGGTATATGGTTGTTCATTATTTTTGTTATTTTCTTGCCTGGTCCATTATACTCCTGCTATGAGTGAAACCGTCCGGTATTTTTCTTTCTCTTTCTGGCTTATCTCACCAAGCATGATCTTTGCAGTTCCATCCAAGTTGCTGCAAAAGACAAGCGTTTCTCTTTTTTGGTTGCTGAGTAATATTCCATTGTATGTGTGTATATATATATATATATATATCACATCTTTTTAATCCAGTCATCTACTTTTGGGCATTTGGGCTACTTCCATGTTTTTCCAATTGTAAATAAAACAGCAATAAACATGGGGGTACAGGTATCTTTTTCAATCAGTGTTTTTGTGTCTTCTGGGTAGATACCTAGGAGTGGGATTGCTGGGTCATAGGGAAGCTCCATGTTTAGCATCAACTGCTAGATTCTTATTTTTGAGGAGAAAGGGGCCAAATCCTCTTCAATTACGAATCAGTTGAAGACTGTTTCTCCCTGTTACTTAACTGCCCACTAGAAAGCTTTCTGAAAATGAACCTAAGCTGCTGTTTAACATTTATATTAAAATACAAGTTAATCACCTCAAGTATATTATGCTCCCTGGCTCCTTAGGTAGCACACATGGTGCGAGTTTAGTGTGCTTCCCTTACTCTGAGTGGCTGTCCTCACTGGTACCTGGACTGCCCACTGCATAACATTTCTCCTGGCCCCTCACTGCCCAAGGGCCCCAGGGCTTCCTCAGCTGGAACTCATCACCGACTATTGTTTCCTATACTCACCTAAGTGCTTACAACTAGGGAGACTAAAATTTATGACAAAATGGATCATTTTTAGGTTGAGTTTTTTGTTTTAGAGCAGAGTATATGTGAGACTTGTTATAACACAGTGGTCCTCCAAGAAGCCCCACTTATCACATTTGTCACTCCCTAACAGCACCCATTTTCTAGTCAGTCTTAGAGTTTTAAGTTTACTGAACACTAAGTAAGGTACCGATTTTTTTTTTTTTTTAGGTATTCTTTTGATTTACTCATTTTTGGTTCTATCTGACCTTTCTCATATTTAGCTGTCTGGTGATCATTTACTGCCTGCTGATAGTTAAGAGTAGGGTTCTATATGGCAGCATGTGGTAGAGTCTTTAGTTGGGCAGTTATCTGGACCTTTATGCTGGGACCCTACACATAACTCTGTTTCTTTTTTCATGGGCTAGATTTTCCAGAGAAAATTCTTCAGCTCTTCTGTCTGGAGAATGTAATCCTGTCTGCCAGCCTTTCCAGGATCATAGGGGGGAAGAAATGTCTCATAGTTCATTTGTAAATAGTCATTTAGTTCCCCTATTTTCCACAAAATACCTTATCTTTCTATTGTACCTGAGGCTGTGTTTTACTTTCCCAGCTTTCTAATTTTGATGGTCGGGTATTTACACTTGCCTAGATGTACAGAGAGGAAAAGAATCTGGATTCAGTTGCTCTTTAAACTGACTCTAAATAGTCCTCCTGCTTTTAGCTCTGTTTTTAACTCTGCTCCCAGAGATACTTGAGGTCACCAATCCTTTTGAGGTGCTAATGGTGTAACTTGCATTGATTCCCATCTTTCCTGATGTGTGTCTAGGTATTTTATCTTAAGACTAAGTAATATCCCACCCAGCCATCTACATTACAGCTTCCATTTTTTTTTTATTATTGGTATCTTTATTTCATTTGTCCTTGTATTCTGCCTTTTTGGGTAATCTTTGTTATACTTAGAATAGTGGGATGTCAGGAGAAAGTAATCTAATGTATGTGCTCAGATAATAATGTATCTTACTGAAAAAACCCAGGCATTTGACTTAATCTAAAAAAAAGGCAGGGGGGCCCTCCCTGGTGGCATAGCAGGTCAAACAAAGCACAGCACTATGAAGCTAGCTGCAGCCACTTTGATTCCCCACCAGGGAGGTGACCCACATGACACAGCAGATCTCTCCTGTCTCACTCATTGCTCCCCTGTGCTTCGTCAGTCTTCCTGTTCTGCTCCCCATTCTGTCTCTAGTGAAACCTCTCACCTCTCACTGCTCCTACACCTCTGGCTTGTATCCCAGTTCTGTATGTATAAATAAATAAATCTTTAAAAAAAAACAGAACAGAGCCACCAAGTTGGTGGGGGATAGGAAGCCATTTTCTAATTATAGTGAAAAGTAAATGAAATGAGTTTTTGGTTTCTCTCATCTTTTAGGGCTTTCTATCTCTTCTGAATGTCTGTCTCAAAGACTTACAACACCTAAATCTGTCAACAAAGCTGTATTTGAGAACAAGGCTGATGAGACGGACCTTCCAAAACAAACTGTGTCACCAGAGAATCCTAAACCACAGAATTCCAAAAACAAATGTGTTAAGACTCTCCTATCAACTATTCCTGAAAACAGGTATACCTCTATGTGTTATTAGGAGCATAACAAATGTTGACATTACCTGCCATGTCACATCGTTAATCCAGTAAGAGATATAAGACATGTATTTTTAATTAAACTTCACAATGACCCTAGAACAGATAGACAATATTTCTATTTTATAAATGTGGAAATTGCAGTTTAGGATTTCAGATTAGCAAATAGTCATCAATAGGGAGATAAAATCCTGTAGAACTTGGGACAAATTAAGTAACTCACTTAGCTTTAGTTTCATCACCTACAAAACAATAGTGCTGATGCCTCTCTCTAGGGTCACTTGGACATAGGTACTTTTTACCAGTCTTTCTAGAAAGTACCTTGACATTGTTATGTTGGCAGATGGCACAGCACAGAAAAGAAGCTGATGTCCTGTACAGTTATGGCCTAGACATGTTCTAAATTAATAATGTGTCACCTCATTTAATCTCCAAATGCTTTATGAGCTACTAGATCATCATCATTTTTCAAGTAAGAAAACTTAGTAACTAAAGCTTAATTAGAAAAGGTAGTAACTTACCTAAATTCAACTTATACCTGGTGAAGCTGGATGCTGCTTGCAGTTTTTCTGCTATAGAGTACTGCCTTTGCATAAATGCATCCAAATGACCTGGATAGTCTTTGTGCCTGGAACACAAGTGTCCTGAAATTTGATAGAAAAGGGATTATTTAAAATAAGTATAAAATAAAATTATTACCTGGAGTCAAGAGAGTACTATTGGATTTACTAATCTGAAGGTGAATAACATTCACTACTCAGTCATTCTGGCAAACAGGCTATCAAAAAAATATATATATACCCTGTGAATTGAAGTAGGGAAAGCAAATGAAAGCTTTGTTAATATTTTATGAAACAAATTTTTAAATTTCTGATTTTTAGTATATATCAATGTTCTAGTCTTTATGGAAACTAAAATATTTTGGATGTTTTCAGGGTATGGATTCTAAAATACCTATTTACTATCATCTTAAGTGTAAGTTACTTTCTTTCCTGTGGTTTATCACCTTGTACTGAGATCCATAATTGTATCTAAGTGGTCTTTAATTTTTTTTTTAATTTAGCACTCAAAAATAGTCATGAAAGAGAGTGTTTTTCCAATGAACAATATTATACAATAAAGGTGAAGTGAAATTGAAAACTAGAAAAATAGAGGCTATTTTTTTAAAACACTGATTACAAGAGGTTGAGATATACATAGTTCTGAAAAAAACACACTAAGAACTTCAGGATTAGAACATTTTATGCTGTACATAACAAATATTGTCAATCCCAACTAGATACAATAACTGAGCTGTTGCTTCAACCCCCCAGAAGAAAGCTTGATGTTCACCTTTCTTTAGTATGTAACTAGATTTGGTTGCTTTTCAAAGGGTTGCCGATAGAGTGGCCAGTACAGTAACAGGTTTTTGAACTTTCTGGTGAAGACTATATTAGGTTTGTAAGCTATAGTCCCAAACTAATTATATGGAGAAGACCCAATATTGGACCATGATCCCTCTTTCAACCAGGATATTCTCAAAACAAGCTCAAAAGATACCACTATGTTTAATTATCTGAACACAATGTTGCTCTTTTTCTTTTCTCAGTAACAGCATAGAAGAAGGTGCTCAGTGTCTTGGATTGCAAGTTTTAACTGAAGTAAACCATGTAAGTCCTATTCCCAGGTGGTCTATAACGCCAGGTATATTATCTACTTTTATTGCATATAGTAACTGCATATAGGAATTTCCATTGCAAATGTAAATAAGTCATATAAAATGACAGTTGTATTTTCAAAAATCTTTGACTTATTTGAGACCATAAGCCATTTTTGTATTCTTCAACTCATATCAAGATTATTTTTATGAAGTTTTACTCTAATCTAGACACACACACACGCACACGCACACACACACACACACACACACACATATTGCCTTTGCAATACAACAGAATTTGAGTAGTTATGGCAGAGATTCTGCAGCTCACAAAGGCTAAAATATTTACAATCTAGCCCTTCCCAGAAAATGCCACTCTCTAGAGTATAGGTACTTGCTGAGAAACTTTCCTTCAATCATACTTTTGCTATAGTATTATCTTACTGTTCAAGAAGTAAGAAAGTAAGATTTACAGTGACCTTTATTCTGTGTCCAGATGAATCCTTATGTTTTTCTTATTTCTAATAACAGATTTTTTTTTATTCATTTTCAATTTCTGGTAATTAAATGTAGTAACCATTTTTTACTTCCAGGATGGAAACATAAGTGACATATACTTTGAAAGGAGTCGTTTATCCAGTGAAAGAATGAATTTGTCCCTATTTGCCAGTGAAGTAACATATAATATTAATGCTAATAAAAAGGAAGAAATTTCAGATGCTGTGGAAGGAATGGAACTAAATTCATCAGTTATATCACAGGATGTTTTCATGATTAGCCCTGAAAAAAATACATTACTACAAGGTAACACTTCACAGGAAGAAGAAACTAAAATTTCTCAGTCAGGTGAGATTTTTAAAATATATTTAAATGAAATTTTGTAAAACAAATGAACTTTAGACTCATATATAAATTACAACTATTTCTGGATGTCTATTTCTAAGAATGAAGACTGAAAAATTGGACACTAAGAGTAAATATCTTATAAGAATTAGTTTGTGTTCTTAACACCCCATTCTCTATTACAAACTTTCTTAGGTAGACTTGCTAAAAATCAACAGATACTAACCCACACTGGATATAAAGTAGTATTTTATATTGTACTTATTTAGGATCCTTTATTGTTAATGAGGTTTCAGAATTATAAATATTCCCTATTTTTAATTCTTTTTTTCAATATAAATACTCAAACCTTTCTTCATAATGCCTTATTTTTCGTTCATACCTACTTTGTTGTGGTTGTTCTTCAGTAGAAAATGACATGTGTTATGTGTTTTCTTAATAATATGTGATAGTCTCACCTACTCTTTGGGACTATTGTGATTAGGGCCTAAGGCAAAATAAACATAATCTTGGCAAGACATTTGCCCGCCAGTTAAGATCTTCATATAGTTTTTGGGAGGTACCTTTTATATGACAATCATGAGTTTTGTTTATGACATACCATTACTGAAATTAAGGATAAGATTTTTATTTAAAATGTTATAGAATAAGATGGACTGTATTTTTGTCCTACTATTTGATATATGTAGCTTTTCATAGCTTTTAAGATTTTATTTCTAACAACCTTTGAGAATATTCTTTAAAAAGTTTTATTTTTTTGTCTTTCAGTACCATTTGATAATAAAAGTCTCACTACTGAATATCATCTTCTTGATTCTGTAAGTTTTCCAACTTAATTCAAAAGGTTCCTTTATATTCTAGATTTGTTTTATAAAATGAGTATTACTTATTTTAAAATTCATATGTAAAGCTTATATCTTGCTATTGTTTTCTTTATTGAGAAATCAATTCATTATTCATTCTTATCTGAATGGGAACTGAATTTCATGTTTATTTGCTTTTAAATATAATAGGCTTTAGTATTAAGCACTGAGAGTTATTTCCCTATATAATTTGTGTGTCATGTTGGTTATTTGAATGTGACTTAGACTATACTAGGTATTTCTGAGTGTTACAAGAAACCTACATGTAAGACAATTGCCCATAAGTTCCCTGGCCTTTGCACTTGGTGATACCTTGCCTTTAAATCTAGTCTTTTAGTTCTTTAGCTATTCCGTGAAGGCTTCCTATAAAAGCTCTCATTTCTCCCATGTTAATTTTATATTTAGGCACAGATAATTATAGGGCATATAAAAAACATACAATGCATACATTTAGTCTTGTATTAGGGTAACAACATGGGTATGTTATAGCCATAAAACATAATTTAAGGAACCTATATCCCTTATTTACTATAAATTCCTCTTAAGGCAAAACTGTCTGATTCACCTTCCTGGATGCCTTAACTGTGATGTGAATGAAATAATGCTCTCTTGTCTATAAGTATTTACAACATTGGTTTTCAGTATCTCTCCATATATCTTTATTTCAGTGATCTCAAGTAGGAACTTCATCCAGGTGATTTTAATATATGCCACTGTTGACAACTGTAGTTTACAACCTTATCTTGAATTTTTCCAGGACCAATTGTTAAAATGGGTCAGGGAATGGCTCTGATTTACTAACCTTTGATCTCAGAATGTAAAAAATTTATTAAGGTAAATATAAGATCAAAACCAATAATTTTTTCTAACCCCATAAAAGCTGGCAAATACCAGACTCCCTACAGCCACTAAACCCTTAAGAACCTGTGTATAAAAAAAAAGATTACTTGCGTTATCTTTCAAAGATGTCTTCTGTGTGTTTGACCTTCTGGGCTGCCCTGTATCGCAGGGACAAGATAAGTCATGCTGCTGTGGCCCGCACTTCTGTTCTTGGTCTTAGCTGTCTTTAATCATAGACTGAGATCTAGATGGTAGGTCAGGGACTTCAGCATCAGGGAAATTTATACAAACCCAATTCAATCATTATTTCCAGATCTAATCTCTGAATGATTAGTTCTGATACTATAGTATATGACATAATAAATAAATCTGGAAATTCATTCAATACTGTTTTTTAATGTATGGCAAATGATTAAAAATGCTTCACATTTATCTTCCACAGTATCTTTTAATCTTAGAATTTCATTTCCCTTTGATTTCTTTTCCACTTCCATAAATATTAGAATTTATTTTAAAATAGGTCCTCCTGTCCATCTTAGGCCAAAGTTACTATTCTATGGCATCATTTAAGTCTGAAAGTAGGACTTGAGGAGTAACAAAAAAAAGATCCCAAGAGGATTAGACTGGTAAAAGGCCTACTAAATGCTGTTAGACAGAGTAAGATTTGTGGAATTTGCCTAAGTGACTTAAGATAGGGCCTCAGTTTTATTGTCTTGCCTATGCTGTTGAAGTCATTTACATATCACTAGTCACATTTTTAGCATACATTCTTAACACATCTTTTCAATTTATTATTTATAGTTAGATTCATAGAATAAGTAGCATAATCATTACTAGTAATTTTATTGTTATATAGGAAAAATGTTACTTATATTACTAAAGAATCTGTTTTTAAATTGCAGTGTTAATTGGTAAAACTCTCAATGTATTTTGGTGACTTCTGAATTTCTTTTCTAGCCTGGCCTAGGTACTGCAGGGATCCATTCACAAGTGGAGAAGAGGCATCGGGAATGTGCCAGACATGTTTCTTTTGGTGGTAACCTGATTACCTTTTCACCTCTCAGGCCCCTCAATGGAGAAAAATTAGAAGAACTTTGAATTTAAAATCAAACATCTTTATTCATGTGTTTTCTTCATAATTCTGTGATATATTCTTAGACTATTTGAAAGTTCAAGGCATGTATTTGCATTTACTTCATTTATATAGGTCATACAGTGTTTTAATACAGTTTGTCAAAGTGTGTTTTAGTTATACTATTTCTAGAGGGAAGTGGGTATATTTTTGTACACTAACCATGCAGAATAAAAATATGGTGCCTTGCCTCTCTTGTTTAAAATATATGTTTAAAGTTAAGTTTAAGAACTTATAAACGTTCTTCAGCTTAATCAGGATAATATTAAACACTGATAGATGTATTTGCATACTATATACTATAGTCTTAGTTTGAACTCTTAGATTTGATGATGTTGAAGAGTTTGACATACTGTATTTGCCATATTGAAATTTCTTTAGAGGAGCCCTCTGGATTACAAAATCAGTTTACATGCTGTAGTTTCAAATGCTTAAATTATTAGAAGTGCTTGTTAAATTTGTGTCTTTTTCTTTTCATTTCTCATTGACATGGCTGACAGCCTGTGAAGTAAATGTCTTCCTCCGAGAAAATTATATCAATACTTAATGTGTTTGAAATGCTTCTCTTACAAAATTCTTACCTGTCGAATTGTAGAAGACAGCACCAGTAGAATAACAGAACACCAAGAAGACTCAGACTAGCTAAAGTTTCTAGCCATACCTGGGTCTAGTTATTTGTTTCAGCAAGAGTCGAGGTTGCAGACATTTACGAAGCAAGCAGTAACTTTATGGCTAGCCCCAGATTAGAAGTTTTCAAACAAGGAAAGGAAGTGCATCACGTTTGGTTGTAGGCTTGCTGCAAGGATAGTATCTATTAAAGCCATGTGAGAAGTTGTGGGCTACATGAAGTGCTGGCTTAGAAGAATGTTCTCAGAATGCTTAATCTTAGGGTTTTTAAAGAGTCCAGTAAAATTTAAATGAAATGTCAATCAACATGTAAAATAGGTTGGTGCAAATTAACCTAAGACTAGAATTTTTATAAATCAATATAAACATAAAATATTTGCCCTCTAGGGTAATGAAACATGTCATAAATAGTCATGAAACATAATATTTTTTGGGGGGGAAAGAGGTTAACAAGATGTGGTATTGCTTAGAAAACGTTTGTTGTTAGGCCAGTTTGAGTTCTTTTTACTGTTAATAAGCAATAAGAAAATGTATTTTACAAGTTATGAAGATTCCAGGCACTTGATCAGTTTAATGGTATCAAGCACCAACATTCTCCCAAAGTTAATTCACTCTTTCTTGGTGTTGACTTTTTGTGTACTGCTGGGTAGTCTTGGAGCCAGAAAGCGGCTGATAATGGTAGCTAGAGCTACCCTCTTCCTTTTGGCCTGGCTATCACAGCTAATGTCATATTTTCAACAATAGGTCCTAAGAGTCAGGAGGGGATTGGCTTAAACCATTTGGGATTCCCTACTGCATCTGGGGGCATATGTCAGTAAAACCATGACTCAGGAAGTGGGGAGTGGATGTTGGTCAGGCAGCTATCAATGACCCCTACAACTGTGTTCTTGAGCAGTTGGATTCCAGAATTATGAGGCATTTGGAAAATCTTTAAAGACAAAATGAAAGAATTGCTTGGATAGAATAAGAAACTTTCCAAAATTGAAAGGGAATTTGCATTTGAGAACCTATATGACAAGTCCTTTGCCAAGTATTGAGTGATCACAGTAACCCTACAAAAGAGATTATATTGCCCATTTTACACACAAAGGAACCAAGGTTCAGAGGAATTATTTTGTGTAAACCAGCCATCTTTTCCCCAGAGCTATGTCTCCCCATATATTGCATAATCAAAACCAGAATGTTAGGATGAAGAAATTAGTTTTGAAATACATCATTTCAGTTGCTGAAGACCTGGTAGTAGGTAGCCCTCAACTATCATTCTAGGTAAGGAGAGCCACTCTGCCCTAGCTCAGTTTCCCAGGTTGCCTGGATTCATTGACTATAACTGAAGATATGTTTCTGTCCCCCTCAGCAACTCTGCCAAATCCTGAAATGCCTGACCCCACAGCTATTAATTGCAAGAGCACGCGCTGAATATTCTTCCTGGAGAACCCAACCTGTAGCAATTACCGGTTTAAATTATTTAAGAAGATGATATTGCAGAAACGTTATTTTGGTGGTGTTATCACATCCTAGTTTTGAAATTGCATTCATTTTTTGGGCTTGCTGGTAATAAAAGAACAGAAAAGCATGTTTAAGAATGTTGATCAATGGAATACATTTTTGAAACGGATTATAAAACTATTTGTCCCCTTTACAAAAATCTGGCAATTTCTTAAAAATCAAGAGACCCTATAGGAATAGTCTCTTATCAATATCAAATTCTGATTTGAAAGCAGTGAAGTGTAAGTCTAGAAGGAGAACATAACATTTAAACGGAGTCAGATATACCAGAATGCTAATAATAATTATGAGTCATCTGGGGGTAAAATCCTTATTTTTGCTTTTCACATTTCCTGAATAGATTTACTTAACTGAGAAAATATGAGCTTTCCTTGGTTTTTATGAAACTGAAAGATGGGTTTATTTTTGCATAGTGTTTACTCCTATCCTTAAAAAGAAATTTAGCAAGTACAGAAAACATTGGGAGACCCTAGTGCACTATTAATATTGTTATTTTTTTTTCCATTGAGAACTTTGTACATTATCTAGAATAAACAGCCTCAAAAAGACCGGTGACTTTTAGAATAAGTTTATTAAATGTATGATTTACAATAATTTTCATGAATAGGCATGAAAATGTTCACTCATAGTGGAACATAAAATTCAAATGTGGAAGTTTACGTTCAACTTGTGGAAGTTTACGTTCAACTTCGTTTTTCTTTCAAAGTATCCACACCTTTTAAGGTTATATCATAGTGTGGGTGACACTGGTGAGGTCTATGTCACCAGAAATCCCCACTTTGCTAATTTCCTGGAGGTTTCTCATCCTATGATTGTACTGCAACAAGTGAGCATCATTGACAGCAACCTTGTAGTTTTCAGGTTCAACCAGAACTTGTATCTGAAATATCACAAACAGAATTGTTAGATATGCCCGTTAATTTCAAAACCAGTCTGATCTGAGTTCAAGATGTCCAACATCTCATCTTTACAATCATTTGTGGAACTGACTAAAGGTGAGAAAAATAATTTTGCAGCAAAAATAAGCTCCAGTTTATTCTAATATTTAAAAAGATAGAATTGTTAGGATACTGTAAGTGAAGTCAAAGAAAAAGAATGATTTGCCTTCCAAAAATGTTTTTGTATGGCCTAAAACATCTAGAAGTAAAAACACACTCTAAAATAATAATCTCCTAGTAGAATGATTAAGATTATAAAGATTGATAATCATTTTTGGCAACATACTCTTCCAATATGTATATCTCTTTGGAAGAAGAAATTTGGCAATACCTAAATTTTAAAATGTACAATCTTTGAACAAAATTATTCCTTTTGGAAGCAAAGATTTTTAAGAGTATCACAGTATTTTCATAAAATAAATACAGGTTTTATTTGGCATATTTCCATACTCCAAATTTTTACCAATAAATTACCACGTAAATTGACAATGAAATACTAAGTAACATGTTATGTTTGGGAAGCTGTCCATCCAAATGTAGAATATGGTCCCCATTAGCTTCTGCCTTTACCTCAATTTAGTAGTTTTATTGATAATTCTACATCAACCCTAACCCAACACTGTGGACCTAATTAAAAATTGCTGTATGTCAATAGAAAATACTGGAGTGATGTTTGCCAAGTTGGGAGAGGGACCAGGATGAAAATCCTTAAAAATCTATAAAGTTTTCATAAGATTTGTATATATTAATTTAAATTTTTTTAAAGATTTTATTTATGCATGCAAAACTGGGGTGCAAGCCAGAGGTTCAGGGGAGGTGAGAGGGTTCACCAGAGACAGAGTGGGGAGCAGAACCGGCAGATTGATGGAGCACACTGCTGAGGGCAGCAGCAGGCGAACTCGGAGAGGTCTGCCGCACCATAGGGATCACCTCTAGGGCTGGGGATTGAACTTGCTCTGAAGAGGCTATGGCCAGCTTGCAGTGCTGCGCTTTAATCCACTGCTCCACCAGGGAGGGCTTTAACTTAAATTTTAAATAGTTTTTATCACCATGCCAACTATATCATAAATTTTCCATTTTTTTTAAAGGGAGTCTGTTTCTTATTTCCAGAAAAGCTAAACTCAGGGGTGAGGGGCCTGAATGAATGTGGGGCTGAACCATTCCAGGCATGTTCTAACGTGCTAGGCTTCATCTCACAGAAAAAGTAGAAGTACTGCTTAGTTGTCCCAGGACAGTTAATAAAAACTGATTTCATATGTGCTGAGGTTTTAAAGTGATTCCCTATGAGCAGTAGATGATATTATTATATAGTAGTAGCAATAACTTACTTTGAAAGGTTTACCACTTTCAAATGGGAAAGTGGACTGTCTTTCTTCCTTTCCCCAGACATTATCCATCTTTGAATTGCAAACGATGACCCTCTTGTTGTCTTCATTAAAGCGTGGGTTAAAGTGGAAGGCAACATCATTCCCTTTCTTGAAATCCAAAGCAAGTCTGTTTTAAACCAAAGACCAGGATTAGTAAAGTAACCCAATTTGTACAACTGCAGCAAGTGAAGAACATATAATCTAAAGAGCAAAACGTTTTATAAAATCAAGGGTAATTTTCTAAATGGAAAGCAATAAATCAGAAAATAGGTTCAAAGTGGTAAAGACATTTGGCCAAGTAGTCTTTGTATTACCATAGTATTTAAAAGCAAATAAGGCATCAAAGGCATGGCAAGACTAAGCACTGTATTTGACAGAAATAGATCATCTGATCAAGTGAAGAAGCAATTCTTTCAAAAGCCAGAGATCTACCCCATCACTCTTGCTGAAACCCCTCCTCTCTCAGATGGAACTCTCTTGAATTGGTCCATAAACCTGCCACTTAACCAAAAAATGGGTCACCAAAAAGAAATGAGGATAATATATTTAAACAAAGATTAGAAAAATGACAGAGCAGTGAAGTTTTTCTATATAAGAAAAAATCATTGCCATGAAACAGGAAAACTGTAAACATTGCACCATGAGATTAAAAATAATTGATGAACTGATTAGAATGAAGGGGAAAAGTTCAAAGTAGGAATATAAGACTTGAGCAAGGCCTGGCCACAACCCATAAAAGTGGAAATGAATTGACCCATAAAATAGAGAAGGAGGAAAAGCTGATGATCCAACAAAACAGGCTAACTGCTCTGATTGAAATAGCTTCCTAAATTCTGTATGTCTTTGAGTTTCTATCTGGGCTCTTTTTTTTTTTCCTCAAGCACCAGTAATACATTTTCTTTATTGGTCTGACCAATATAGGCTACCATTCCCTCACTGTTATTAAGAAAAAACCAAGCAAGGTAATGTATGCTGAATATTTCTGTCTTTGGCCACATTCTATACAGTTACAATGTTCACTTTACTGCCTCTGTTCATAAAGGCCCCCCAGGATTTCCTAATAAAGGTTCAGAGTCATTTAGAGGACACAGTCTACCTTACACTGCAGATAATACTATATACCTCCTTCCTGCTAAGATTGCTTTTAATACCTAGTAAACAAGCCAATCACATATCTATAAGCTATCAAACACCTAGGCTTTCCCATAGTTAACTAAAAACCTAGTCCTAGAACAGTAAGAATATGCTAGTAGCATAATAATTAATGTTCGGTATCCTGTTGCTAAATTGTAAAGTCATGCCAATAAATGAGTTAAACATTCCACAATGTAAAGTCAAATAATAGAAGTACTGGTTTAACCTTCTGACCTGGTTCCTTCTTGGATGCTAAGCAAACACAAGTCCTTGTGAAAGGACTAACTGCCCCTCTGTTTCTCAGTGTGCTCCACAGAATCAGCGGGTGCTCTTCATTTAACGCAAGGCCTGCCCTCTAGACTGCTGACAAATGATCCTCTGTATTTTGATTCACCCAGTAACAAATGCAGTCACAAATGTATCTAATATCTAATGGCTATATGTCTTCTGCCATGGAAAGGAAGATATGTCATCTCTACTACTTTAAACATTGCTTCCCCTCACCCCCCATTGTAATTCTTCACATAGCATTTGCAAAACCAACTACAATTTTTGCATTTTACTCTCATCTTAACCATTTCAACTAAAGTAGTTTTGATCTGCCAGTCGCAGTCTACCAGTCTCAGTCTACATCTGTAGTGTCACTAGAGATAGTTTCCGGTACAGTAACTAAATAAGGCACAGACACAGGTGTGCTTCTATAGGATAGGGATTGTGGGAGGAGGCAAGCAGATATGAATGAATTGCAAATTCTATGTGAACAGGAAAAATGTACTAGGTTCTGGTATGTTGCCAGGAAAGATGGCAAAGGGCCAAGGTAGAGGATAGAATATGTTCTATAGCTTGCTGTGAGGGAAATACTATGCCTACAGAAGCTGCCTGGCTGAGGGAAAGAGTTGGTTTAGGGGAATTACTACCTCATAGAACCAGAGGCTGGCTGGAGGTGGAGTCAAAGGGGTATCTGAATATAAAGTGACCAGATCAGAGGCTCAGTCCTGCTCCAGGTAACAGGCTGCTGGTAATTTACCTGACACCAAGGGACTCTGACTCTGTCCTTGTACCCAAGGGGCAGATGAGCATGCAAGATCTGAGACTACACAGTGACCCGCACAGTTGCAGGGAGATTCGTACAAACATGAGGACAGAGCAGTAACATCTTCAAGCTCTTAGAATATCTTAGAACTATATCCAATGATCCAATGGAATCTTTTTTTTTTTTTTTTTGCCTCTAATCTTTGATGGACATCTAAACATAAAGTACACACTGGGTATTCTAGACATTTTATGACTCAGAAGTAGGGTGATGGCCAAACATTACCTTACAAAGGCCCATTTGCCTTTAATTCTAAGACTAACTCACAGGAAGAACCAGCAGAATGGGCCTTTCTGTTTTCCCTCTTTGTTCTCACAAAATAGAACTCTTTTATTCTGGTTCTGGGAGACCAACAAGATTTGGCAAAGGAAACTTTGTCCCTTGGGGGAAACATATACTGACTTAGGGGCTGATGCCTTACTATAGTAATACCAAGTTTTAAATGAACAGTTATGTTAAACTTGTTAGTTTACTCCACCTGTTTGCTTGGGGCCTCACTGTGCCCATAATTGTTATCAGCATGCGGGGCACAACTCCAGTAGGCAAGGTCAAATCATAAGGCACAGTCTAGGAATGAAAAAAATATATGTGTTAACAAAGTCATGTTTTCTTGAGGAATGAAAGAAAAAGATGCCACGAAAACTTAATTACTGTTAACATGGGTGAATACACATGTTTAAGCCATCTTTCAGAATTTTGGGCCATCTTGCTCATGGTCTGAAGAGATAAGGCACCCTCCATGCACTATTGATAAATGAAAATAAGGTCACCAGTAAATTGGTGTCCAAAGCATGAAATACTCCCTTTGGGGGCTCTGTAGCTCTCAATCCAAAGGCCAGCCAACCTACCTTATTCCTACAGATTAGTTTTTTGAAAGGCTTAAGCTAAACCTTGTAATCTACATTAGTATTTTTGTGCCCTCTTCACATAACTCCCTTCACATGGTTTTGCTGCTCCCTGAGGGGAGAGCCATTTACACCGACTACGTAGTCCCACAGGACCTGTTCCACTCTGCTATCCAGTTCTTTCCCCTGTCTACATTATGTTTCCCAATTAGACCATTACCTGGATCCCCACAGCTAGGAGTTTATGCTTAGAATCTGTTTACTATAGTGTGTTCACTGTAAGGAAATCCAACCCTTAGGTCATCATATTGTCTTCAGGTTTTTCCAAAGCCGGATCACCTTGGTCCCCCCATGTTTCCTCTTTGCTCTTGGACCAGTTAGAGAACCCTCCATTTCCCCATGTTCTTGGGTGTATGTGAGAATGGTGAATGGTTATAGGATTAAGCACACTGCTGGCATGTGGAATATACTCACTGTTTATTAAAACTGGTGATCAAACTTCCATGACTATGATCTTAACTTGATTCATGTTAAGGTAAAGCTGCATTATAGATGCCCTCAAAAGAGGTATCTTTACATCTACAGTATACATGCTAAACATAATATGCAGAACAGTTTTCTCACTGAACCAACATACGTTGTAGCTGATTCTTGAAAAGTGGCTCAGCTGTGAGTTTAAAGCTTTAGGTCCCCTGAAGCCCCATGTAGGTCAGTGCTCAGAGCCAGCTGTGGCCAGAGCGCAGCATTAGCTTTGTCACAGTCAAGCACATGAAGTGACTAACTCCTCACCAGTGGTCCAGAAGGGGAACCAAAGTGTCCAGCAGCAGGGAAGGCTCCAGGTCCACTTGGTTGCCCAGGGTAGGCTCCTGGTGCATTTGGTCCAGGATAAGCAGGTGCTGTTGGGCCAGGGTAGGCCCCGGGAGGAGCCTGTCCAGGGTAGGCCCCAGGAGGAGCCTGTCCAGGGTAGGCCCCGGGAGGTGTCTGTCCAGGGCTGGTACTGGGAGGTGTCTGTCCAGGGCTGGTACTGGGAGGTGTCTGTCCAGGGTAAGCACCAGGGGGTGCCTGTCCAGGGTAGGCCCCGGGAGGAGCCTGTCCAGGGTAGGCCCCCGGGGGTGCCTGTCCAGGGTAGGCCCCGGGAGGTGCCTGTCCAGGGTAGGCCCCAGGATAGGCAGCTCCTGGGTAGCCTCCAGCCCCAGCAGGCTGGTTTCCCCACTGCCCAGGCCATCCTTGAGGGTTTGGGTTTCCAGACCCAGACACAGCATCATTAAGCTGAAAAGAAGGATACACATCATTACCGGATAGTCACAAAACCAGAATTAAAAAAAAAAACATAAGCATGTAATCTAAGAAGTAGAGGACTATGGTGAAAGTATGAAATTCATGTCAACTATTTCCCCTATTAACTAACTTTGCATTCCAAAGACTTAAGTTAGAATCTGGGATTGCATATGCATCATTGTCCCTTCATCTCAGATCCGGAGGGCTGCATTCATAATTTGCTGAAGCTGGGAGCTAGCCATCTTGGAGGTCCAAGTGTATGCTTTTTAAATGACAGGAAAGAAACTGTCACAGAAGTTGGGATGTTCAGACTGCTCCACAATCCCCAGTGCCCACATCCTCTCTCAGCTCCTGATGGTGATGTCTGCCACTTCATTTCAGGGGAGGGGGGGGTGTGGTGTTAATCCAGGCCACTCCCACCTGGCTTTCATCCTGAATCTGTTACTGGAAAAACAGGACCCGTTCTATCACGCCCTCATTAGACAGGTGGGGGCAGAGGAAGCCATGTGGTGGGAGAGGCAAGGGGAAGTTGGGTGTAAAATACAAACCCTCAGTCTAGTGGAATGTGTATTTGAATAAGACACAAAACACTTACTGAGAAACTGTCTGCCATTTTCCTAAGAGGAGAAAAAAAAGATAGGTTATCATTTGATCCTTAAAAACTTTGCAGATTTCCATTCAAACAACATCACAAACAGCTGGTTCTGTACTTTTAGCTATCCATGCCTTTCTTCTAGCACAAGCCAGTAAATTCTGACAGTATGCCTGGAGCAATAGTGCGGAACCACAAGAATGTCTCATCCAAGGGTGGGGCTGGATTACCAGCCCGATTTAACTCTTGACTTCCTCAAAATCACTCTGGCCTATGTTCTGGTGCCTGGGAATAGCAGCCATAGGCCATACAGCAGAGCAAAGAATGCAGAGGAAAGAGCCCTCCCCTTTGCTAGGTGAAAAGTATACATAAGCTTGGCTTATCACTGGCTCTCCTCCTTCACCTTTCTTCCCATGCTCTTTCCCACATCCCTCACAAAGCTTTCAGTGTGTAAATATCGCCCACCTTCCCTTCTATTCCCACTAACAGCCTCGGGTCATTGTCTGGGTTCCAGAAGGAAAGCAGAGCTGGTTGATTACAAGAAACAGTGCTTCCAGAGGTAGTTGCTGCCAGTTTTTTCCTTCTTTTGCACCCACTACACCTGCAATGGGCCAGGCACGGTACTGGCTCCTGATGGGGTATCAGGACCACTGGCCGAGATCTGCATGATCAGAGGACCCGCTCAGCCTCCAAGGAGACATAGGTTTAGATGAGGAGCAAGAAGCAAAAAGGCAGGTACAAGGTGCTTTTTGAAAAGATACTTGCTATTCCAAAAAGCTCTGGCAGTAAAACCTCAAGCTAAGGTTAAAAAAAAAAAAGCCTGGCCAAGTGGGGAACATCATTTTGGTTCCAATACTGTCACAGAGTTTGCCTGTCCAAGCTGCCTGGGGTCTGGTCTGCCAGCCTCCTCCTCCTCCTCCTCTCCTTGTGCCAGGTCCCTAGCCTCCAGATGTTTTACATCTTCCAGATGTTTTCATCTGTTCTAGCGGAGGACCACCCAGCGGTGAATGTCCCCTACCCCCACTTTACCAGACTTATTTTAAACCTTAGTTTGTAATGCTGCCAGAGACCTTTTTCTTTCTTTTTTTAATAACAGACATCTTTCAGAAAAGCATCCTTTACCTGCCTTTTTGCTTCCTTGCTCCACATCTAAGTCTTAACCTCTCCTTGGGAGAACACCTCAGGCTGCTGAGGTCTGTGTGAGTTCTTTAGTTCCTCTCTTGTGCTTGACCAAAATTACCCAAACCAAGCCAGATCTCTTTTCCCTTGATTCACCCATTTGTGATACTTATTCAGTTATTTTCAGAAATGATATTACCTCCAAGGGACCCAATAAACAGCAACCCCTTCCTAGGTCTGAAAATGTAAACTACTAAATATTTTTGTGAAGCCTCAAACAGGCAAAGCTCATCCAAAGACTTACTGTTTGCTCACATACCAGGTAGGTTATCTGATTCTGCTACTTAAATACTCCCTTTCACTAAATTTTGCACATTTTTTTCCCCTGGATATTTAAAAAAAATATTTGGAAGCAGTTAGGCAGTGTCTGTCTTCCAAGGTAAGAAACTGCTGGAAACTGGTTTTGGAAAGCGACTCACTTGGGGCTTACATTCACCGTGTTTCCTGCAGTACTTGGCTTTTAATTTATTTTTATTTTTGTGAACTTGGTCTTTTAAAGCAAAAGTCAGGTGCGGTGCTTCTCTGCTTGGACCTCCCTCCCCAAATAGCTCCCCCTTCCCAGAAAAGTGTATGGCAAGAGGAACTTGAAAGAAGATTCATTACAAAACAGGAAAAAAAAAAAAAAGTGGTGGTGGTGGTGGTGGTGGGGGACTGCTAAACTTAGCTCAAGGAAAGAAAGTTGCTTATTTCAGGTGCCAGCAGGAAACAATCTGGAACTTCCCAGTGGGCAGAGAGCAGAGTTCCTTCACTTTCATAAACTCTTCTGCTCCTGGGCAACATAGCAAAGACCCAGCAACAACTTGTGATTCCTTTTATCTATCCACACTGCAGGGGGGCCTATTCCCAGCCTCAGCACTGGCATGTCTCTCTGTCCCACCTGGTGGGCTCTCTCGTTTCTTTTATTGACCCTTGAGACTTAACAAACTCTTTTTTTTTTCCTTACATTTAAGGGAAAAGAACATCGCTAGAAAGATAAAATTAGAAATGCTGGCTACCAGGTAATAGCTAAAGCAAGCTACTTCAGCCCAGACCTGCAGAGGTTTGTGTGAAAAGGGTGGACGTACTGACCCTTGCCCACTCCCCCTTCTGCTCCCTTGTAACTCTGGATAAATACCTCCAGCCTTCGCCAAGGAGCAGGGCGGTGGTCTTTCAAACACCAGTCCACCACCTCCCCCAGTTTGTGGGCAAATTAAACTTCTTTCCTTCTCAAGCTCTACTTCCTTCTGTGGCCAAGGGCACTGAGATGGGCATTCTGGGAACAGTACCACTGATGGCAGGTCAGAAGCCTTTTCTGGGGGAGGGCTGGGAGGAAGATTAGCAGCTTCTGGGCTTCAATACACAAGATGGTAATAGTATGACCCCTCAAGCCCCAAAGTGTGGCAACCAAAAACATCTTCAGACTCAGCCAAATAGCCCCAGGACAGGGAGAGGGAAAAATTGTGTCTGGTTCGAGAACCACTGAATAGGCTGCCCAGCATGTCTGTCCCTACGTAAATGTATGTACATATAAATGTGTATATAACAATACAAGAAGGTCATTTCAATTGTTAAAACCAGCCAAATCTGTGCAACATCGTAAAGGGTCTTATTAACATAACGCCCATCAAACTAAGATATGTGTAAAGGTTGATTACAACCAGAAACTCATGCCAGGAGGACATTTCCAAAATTTAACACTCATTGTTTTCAGAGCCTTTGCTCAAAACATGTTTAGTTTATTTTCCAACCCAACCAAACCAGTTTGAGAAGCTGAGCAGATTTCACTGTGGCCCCTGTGCTGCTTGTGATAGCTGCAGGGCTGTTGTGGATTCTGTGGGAACACATCAGGTGAGCCCAGATAATAGTGACATTCTGTTATGGGGGGGTGCTTTTGGTTTACAAAGCACTTTCACATTCCTTACCTACTTTGAGTCTGATAATAATCATGGGAAGCTGAAAGAGGAAAATTAATATCCTCGCTTTGAAGGTGAAGAAAGTGACACTCAGAAAGCTAATGTGGTGGCCCTATGTCACTGTGCCCCTGGCAGGTCAAGGACCAGGGTCCAAATGCCCCTCCAGGTTCTAAAATACTTAGTGACCTACATTAGTGTGGAACCTCCTACTTGGGGTGTTAAAGTCCTCTGAAGCATTAATGACTTCATTTAGAAATTAGCTCTGTATTCATTCAGAACTACACAGCATGCTGAATTTATAAACAAAAATTAGAAAGATCTTGTTTTTGTCAAAAACAGGCTGAGTGACTCAGTGCACAAGATACTGAATACAAGGATGCCATTTTGCACAGTCACTTTGCTAATTATAACCACATTTAAGCCAATAAAGTGTACTTGCCCCCAAACTGATTATGCCTTGTTTAGACTATGTCAACTTCCAGCCATTGGGTCTCTGTTTTGAAAAGGATTACAGCTAGTGTTCTTTTGAAATCAAGGTGAGCAACGTAAAACTATTGGATCAGAGATCCTTGCAACTTTTAGCTGAAGTTTGCAGCAAAGTCATGTAACAGTAGTCAAGAGACCAAAAATCCATTTGGACAAATATCTTTCTCATTTGCCTGGACATTCTCTTCCTTTTTTAGATGATTTATTTATAAAAACAGACAATCAAATGTAAAGAAAAAAGCCTTCCCCTTCTACAGAGACTATAGATCTGAACTCTGTGCCAGAATTCCCAGAGTCTTGAAGAGCCAGGAAAGAAAAATATCATCAACAGCAAACAAAGAAACAAAAATAGAGACCTACTACCTGGGTTCTCATATTTGAAGAATTTACAGGAAACAATTTGGTTGTTTTGGAACAAGGAATTGAAGCATGAGTCAGAATGTAGATCACTTTAATTGGCAATTTTTTTCCCTTTAATAGAAAGTGGCTACCCACTGTTTGTCCTGTGCTATTCCAGTGCTATCTAGCAATAAAGCAGGTTGCCTGGGTTCCCAAGGACACTCCTGAAATTTCTGCTCACAAAGGGCCCTTGCCATTATACAAGAGGTAAGGGAAGTAGATTGTGAATGTGCTTCCTCAGAACCGTAAGGCACTGCCCGGACTCATGGCCAAAGAGTGGAGGCGGGTGGTCTACTTCCTGCCCTCGCTGAAGCACTGAGCACTTGAGGAAAGGTCACCTGCCTAAGCCAAATCCAGTGATGTTGGAATAAAGGACTTGGGATAAAGGAAACTGATGCTTTCCTAGGATTTCTTTCTTATCATAGCTCCTTAGTTTCAAAGAAGGTAAAGTTTCTTTGTGCCTCTCAGTTACTGGTTCCTTTCCCCTGTGGAAAAGCTGAACCCAGTTAAGGGAGAACACATGATACTTAGTCAACAGCAAACTGGAGTACACAGCAAGCCCTCGCCTGGCAGGCTTACCACTTAATGAGAAGAACAAGTTCAGGCACTTGTACAAAATGCTACCCAGCTGTTCTCGGCAGGAAGCTGTATCCCAAATTACCACGGGAAAGAAAGGCCATGTTATAGATTAGTAGCATGAGCCTCAGGTATGTATGGTTGCAAGTCAATTAGTATTTAAGGCCAATAGAGATTCTGCAGTTACACTATATGAATAAACGTCTCTGCTGTAATTAAGATTTGGAGTCTGTCTAATGAGGGTTTGAAGCAGATAAGTACTTAAATTGTAGGTGAGACCAACATTACTATTTTGATTTCACTAGCAATAGTGAAGTCTTTATAGAGCACCGATGCATATTTACAGAGTGAAACACCACTGAGTAAGGAAACTTAAAGCAAGACTTGCCTATTCTATTAAAAACAGCTGTTTTTGGGGGGGGTGTCATCGTATCTAGGAGTACTTCCCCTCTTCTACTTCTTACATAACCCAGTGAGGCATCTTTCCAACAGTTGTAAATCAAAACACCCAGGGACCACTATCAAACTCCTTTCTGGATTATTGGGTAAGTCTAAATGTAGCCCCTCAAATTACAGATTTTGGAAGCAGTGCCAATCTCTCCAGAATCAAGGATGAGGTACTACCTCATTCTTTTGTCGATTCAAAGTCAGTGTCTGAAAAGGAGACTTGTGGGAAAAAAACACCATTTCCTAGTAGGAAGACAAAACTTGAGGAAAATGAGTCAGAATGTTGCATACTGGTGATGATTTTCTCTCCCATTCTGCGTGTGATTGGTAAATATTTATGGCAACCGAAGTTTCAGAATTTACTGAGCCTGCCTTCCATTTCTTTCCCAGAGTCCTAGAAACAGACTGCGTCACTGGGGTCTAGCTGTCCTCACTAACTCCCAGAAGTCACTTTATCGCGGTGGCTGCAGGTGTGTGCACAGTACCTGGCACGGGAATCGCTGACTTCAAAGGGTTGTCACAGCTCCTACCAATGTGTCCCTGACTCCCTGGCATTGAGCTCCTGCTCCTCAAAGTACACTCATTTTAGTGTCCAGCATCTTGTTGGAGCAACTGATAATCCAAAATAAATTCTCAAACCTGATTTGAAGTCCCATATCCACTTCCCGCCAGTTAGATGCCACACACCACAAATCCCCCGCACAGATCTGAGATCCTTAATGCCCATATTAGCCAATCTGGGCAGAAATGAGTCATAATTTGCAAAAACAGAGTTTGGATCTCTGCCAAGTCGGGCACAGAACCACTTAGTCCCTTTTCGGCATCCCGGGAGCGGCGGCTGAGCTCCTTCACACCCTCAGCAAGATCAAGGTGCCGGCAGCAGAGAAGCCCGCCTCCTAGGGCGCCGCTTAGGCTCGCTGGGCAGTTCCCACCCTGATGGGAGGAGACCCGGTGCCTAACCCGAGCCTGCAGCGTGAGGGCGGGGAACACGCGCGCCCGCGGAGTCGCCCCCGGCGAGTTCCGAAGTGGTGGAACGGCGGGCGGGATGCGGGGCTGAGTCGCCAGTGGCCGCTAAGGGCGCCCGGGCTGGGCTCCGCAGGCACACCCGCGGCCCTCGTTTCATAGGTGAGTCTTTGTAAGACGTTACTTACTTTCCTTGAGTCTCAGACGCTCTCTCCCGCGAGCGAAGGCAGCGGCTCCTCGCCCCGAGCCGCGCCCGACGCTTCACACCTGCCAGTCCCGCTCCGCGCCTGCCCCAGGTCCCCGGGGGAGCCGAGCCCCCTGCGTCGGCTCTCAGCACCCTCCCCGGACTCCCACCTGCGCCCTCCAAAGGGAACGTGCACCGGGCAGAGCCCGAATACCCTCACCCTCGCCTGGCCGGTGCCACCAGCAAACCGGGCCCCCAGCCCCTGGCCCCCGGCGCCCCGCGTCTCTCACCCGGCGCCTCGGTGCTCGCTAGCTCGCTCGCTCGCTCTGGGGCGCTTCCTGGAGAGGTGGTGAGGTCTCTGCAGGGCGGCGGCTGGGTGCCTCCAATATATCCTCTCTGGGCGGGGCCGCCGCCCGTGCCCTCGCGGGCCACTCCCTGGCCACTCTCTGGCCAGGCACTGGAGCCCCAGGGCACAGAAGAGAGCCCTCGGACCCAAAAGCTGAGGTAGGGGGTGGAGGGAGGAGGATGGAAACTGCGGTGGTACCCTAGAGGGCACACTCCCCTCCCCCCAGCGACTCGGGTGTGGCCAAAGTGACTCCCCTCTTTCCAGATTCACCTGATAACTCCTCAGACGATGAGTGAGTGAAGTTTTAAGTGTGTGCTTCTGTGGGGGCTATTTCGGCTTGTTTGCTTTAACTGTTTGCTTATTTCCTGCCCAAATGGCAGCACTCTCAACCATTCAGTATTTACTTAGCTAAACCCCACTGGGAGAGCCTGGCAAGTCATCTGAAGAGCTGGGTGACATGCTCCCGCGTTCTTTACTGTGCCTTCATTTCCACTGAGAGCTGTGATGTGGGGCGCACACTTCTCAGACTGAGAGCCCCAAATTGACTTACTGTTCGGGTGGTCACTGCTTCCCCAGCCACTACCTAATGGCACCTGTGACTGCTCTGTCCATATCTAAGTGGGTGAAATAATGAATAATAATAATGAATAATCACTTCCTAAAAAGCTTATCAATTTGCTCAAAGATTGGGAAGAGTCCTGATGAGAGAAGTGTGATTAGTTACAAAAGTCCTTTTGGTAGAAATGGGAATAGGGCAAAGCTATGACTCTAAGAAAGTTTCAACAAAGGTTAATGCTTTCCAGAGAGATGGTGTTTATTTGGTATTATTTAGCTAAGTGAGGTGGTTAAGGATGTCCAAGATGGATTTTCTTAGGAAAATTCAGGTAATCACTAACAAAAATTAACTTGAATTAGATTAAAGACATAAATATAAGACCTGAAAGTGTACACCTTCTGAAAGAAACAAGAGAAAAGCCCCTTGACATTGGTCTTACCAACACGTTTTGATGACACCAAAGCACAAACAACAAAAGTAAAAAATAAGTAGGACTTCATCAAACGAAAAAGCTTCCTCACAGCTAAGGAAATAATCAACAAAATGAACAACTTAGAAAAAATATTTGTAACTCATATTCATTTCCCAAAAATATAAGGAATTTTTACAAATCAATAGCAATAAAAACCACAAATACTCATATTAAAAAATGGACAGAAGACTTGAGTAGACGTTTTTCCAAAGAAGACATCCAGATGGCCAGCAGGTACATAAAGAGGTTCTCAACATCACTGTCATCAGGGAAACACATTTCAACAATGAGACAGTCCCTCACACATGTTGGATGGCCATTATCAAAAAGATGAGATCAAGTGCTGGTGAGGGTGTGGAAAAGAGGGCCCCTGTGCATTGTGGGAGAGACTGTATACTGGCGTGGTCACTTATGGACAACAGTATGGAGGTTCTTCAAGAACTCCCATAGGGTCTAGTAACCCCACTTCTGGGGATCTAGCCGAAGGGCCTGAAACCACTATTTTGAAGTGATATCTGCACCCCATGTTCATTGCAGCATTGCTCACAACAGCTGCCTAACAAATAGTTCACCTAAGTGTTTATTGATGGATGAATGGATAAGGAAAATATTATACACACACACATCCCTAGAGGATTAATATTGTTATTCAACCACAAGAAAGGAGGAAACCCTTCAATTTGCAATAACATGAATAGATCTTGAGGACATATGTAAAGTGAAACAACTCAGAGAAAGACAAATATAATATCTCTCTTCTATGTGGAACAAAGCTTAATTTGTAGAATTTGTATGGTAGTTACAGGAGCTGGAGAGTGGGAGAAATGAGAGATTTTTAAGCAGCACTGTCCAGAGACTATAAGATCTAAGAACACAGGGCCTCAATCGGCTTTTTTGATAATTATCATTCTAGTACCTGAGGTTGACTGTCACATAGTGAGTGCCCTTATTACATTCACTAGTGTCGTGCTGTATATGATAGCACCTGAGTCCAAAGTGACTTGGATTCAATTTTAACATTTTATAGGATAATCATGCCTTACCTGTATCAGAAAATAGGTGGCTTGGATTCAGTTTTAACTTTTTTTTATATATAATAGTTTATTTTTACATATTTTTGTGCATTTTTCCATCTCAGTTGCAATCCCCTTGGGTTTCCCATCACCAAATCACCCATGTTCCATCACCATAGTCCAGTGTATTTCCCTCCCCCCACTGTTTTTGATCCCATTCCCCACTCCAACCCCACAAAATATCTCTGGTATATAGCTGTTCATCATTATCACTCTTTTCTCGCAGCTTTAACTTTTTAACACCTATAGAATTTCGTGCTTTACCTGTATCAGAAAGTAGGAATGAATGAGGATATCAAATAATTTATTTTATAAATACATGCTCTTTAGTATAAAATGTGCTGAAATAAAACATAACCCCCGAGGGAAAAAACAGAAATGGAGTGATGTTGGTTAAAGAGTACAAAGCTCCAGGATGAATTAGGATGTAATGTATGGCACGGTGACTATAATTAACAATACTGCGTACTTGAAAGTTGCTAGGAGAATAAACCTGAAACCTTTGTTCTCATCAAACACACACACACACACACACACACACGCACACACACATCCCTATACCCACAGGCACACATGGTAACTATGACAGTGATGGGTGTGTTAACTAATTTCATAATAATTTCATAATTTTCACAATAGAATGGGATTGTCTCTGTGATGCTTGGGGAGATGCTGTATCAGAGCCCAAGTGACAAGATAAAGGTGTAAGTTGTAAGGTGGGCATTTGCCCCTTCTGCACGTACCCTGGACTCTACTGGCTTTAAGTAGTTTTCCAGAGCACTCCTGGGACAGACATTAGCATTTCCAGCGGAGAACCATTAGTAGTGTCTTTGGGAATTCCCTCAGCTTGGTGATGGACACTTTCCAAGACAGTGGATACTGTAGCTGACTGGGGCTGGTGCACCAGCTTGTCAGCACAGAGGAGCCCATTTAGGCCACTGGGCAGAGGCACTGAGCAGGGGAGAAGCTAGGAGAGGACCTTGCTCACACAAGACTAAAGACTACGTACGGGAGGCCTATGAACAGCCTCAGTGGGACAAAGGAGGCATGGCCGAACCAGTCATCTGGTGGTGGTTATGTAAACTGGTGAGACAGTGACACTCACTCTGTGTTTTAGGTAATGAGTTCTTGCAGTAAACCAGAATGGAAAATGGAAATGAGGTGTTGGATCATGACACAATGTGACTGCGTTGTGGAAAGTAGTGAAAAATCCAAATTATATTTTACTTTAAAAAACAGGTATTGAGGGCCCTCCCTGGTGGCGCAG